AGAAACAATTAGTATTCGATATTGAGATAACCCCCTCCTCTGACCGGAGGGGGTCGTTTCTAACTTACTTTCTTCGGGCCAGTAGAAGTTTCCCAGGGAATGGAACCAACCATGTTCTTGTGAGATCCCCATGTATACCACTCGGCTATCCTGCCACACAATTATTACCAAATATGTTATATATGCACCATCAATATCTGACCAAACAACAAAGTCCTTAGACCTCCTTTCCCCTTAGAGTTTTCTGAGTTCTCTATCGCCTCCCTGTCCCTATCAAACTACAAGAAAATTAATTCAAACAAATTCATTTCGAATCAAAATAATTACATCACTAAGATTAACAACATAACATATGAAGGCATAAGAAACAAACGTTCACTCAGTAAGGAAATTATTCCAAAGTTACGACGACTGTGAGAGTACCTTTGGAAAATTATAAACTAACTTCACCTCTATCGAGTAGCCTGTGTCCAAGTTCTCTTAAGTTATATGAAAAGTTATATGATGAACCATGATGTCCTGAAAGATATCAACATCAACTGGCTGTTACAAAGGAAATAATTCTCACCAAGATCGTTCTACCTCATCAACTGAAAACTTCTTTCAGAATCTTAGAGAACCTTGTTGATGATTGATTTAGTCAGCAGACATCATCAATCAACGGAGAACACTTTAACAGAACAGAAGGATGAAAACGAAAGATGAAAACACGTACTTCCGTCACAATTCAAGTTGAAACTTGCCTCAAACTTCCAGAAATGGATTGAGCAGAGCTCAACCCAAGGAGCCGCAACGCGTCTGAAATCTTCTGAAGCTTATATCTTCAGAACTAGGCATCTTCAAGAAGCACCTAGCTCTTCTTCAAACGAAAAGCGTAGAAATGTAACACCTGGACAATGGTATCTCGTTCGGAAGCTGTTCGAATCCATTCGCCAGTCGAAGTCAATAAAGAACTTATTTCAAAGGTACGACAGTGAGAGTACCGTTAGAAGAAGTTCTTCATTGACCATGAGTGTCTCGTACATGCAAACAAAGCCTGACAGAGTTTTTGAAAAATAAAAGGGAAATGAGGCACGGATGAGGTTTAAAGATCTCTAGAACGAATAAAAAATTTCCTCCAAACTAGCCACTTACCTGCAGATCACCCGGGTGATTCATACAATCTTGTTACGCGATGGGTGAAGCCATCCGATGAACTTCGGTCATCGTTCCAGAGCGGATCAACTGGTGTCCACCTGAGCGCAGGTTAACTGAATGTCAAAGATAATATTGGGGGAGTGAAATCACCAAGAGTTCAAGTGAGTTGATGATGAACTGGTCAACTTGGGGCTCATTCAACATCCTCTCACAATACGAACCCTGCGAACTGTTTTGTTAGGTTTCACGCGAAGGGAAGGGGCGAAAGGAGCTCCTTAGACCTGAAAGCAGATTACACTCCAAGTTTCAACAACAGCGACGTCAATCATTCGAAGCTCTGCCAACAACCTGATGAGAGAAATTCAGTAGTAATCCATGAAAAGCAGAAAAAACAAAAAAAACAGATGATAAGTCGAAAAAAAGTTGAAGAACTTTTGAAAATTTTCCAAATTTTTATTGGCCTCGTTTCAGGATGCTCCAAGAGGGACTTTCAGCTAGAATATTTTTCGTTGTCAGGAACAAAATGAAAAGCACTTACCAAATTTGGAAAGATCTTAAAAATCTGAATTTCCTTGAGAGGCGCAATCTACACGTTCAGGTTTCCTAGTCGAAAAAAACGATAAAAAACATTGGAATTTTTCCAGATTTTTATTGGTCCCGACACGAGATCAAGAGAAAGAGAGAGAGACAAATTGAAGAAATCGGTTTTTTTCCAACCTTTTTTTAACTATCGAATTGAAGAAAGGACAATTTTGAACTGTTCTGTTGCTGATCGAGCATTTAGCTCTCCGACTTGCTATTGGGCCTGATTGGTCGTTTGAGAGAGAAAGCACTTCAGATAACTGGGAAAAGACTCTGATGTGTTATAGTTCAAGAAAATTGAAAAAGTTCTACAAACGTGTGATGAGAACGTAGCTGTCCTCTGATGAAAGTCACTACTGTAGAGAACAGACATGTGACCGTGACCATGTGAAAGTCATCCTGTCCACCTTTGGGAAGAAATATTGCCGATGACTTGATGTATATTATCCGAAAAAGTGAAGAGTATAAAGAGTACAACACAAAGTATTGCTCTCACTTTACTTTATTGCGTCTTGGTCAGTTCCTTAATCGCAGCATCAAACCATTGGAGGACTAGTTTAGAAAAGTGATGAGGACATCTGAGTCAAAGGCTCCCTTAAACACAGCTATAATTGGATTGAAAATTATTTAAAACGTAATTCAATATATGTAAGCCTACTAAATATTTACAAATATTTATCTATGTTTGAAAGACAAAATGATATGAAAGCTAAAAAAAGGTAATCCTAAAAAGGTGGTAGATCACTTCGTTTGTTGTTTTAGATTTCCAGACTCTAATCGTTCTAAATCTCTACGAAGTGCCTCTATTTCGGCTTGTTGTTCATTTATTATACGATCTTTCTCTTTTAATAATTCCTGCAAGCTCTCAACTGAAATTTAAAATTGTAAAGGAAAGTCAGAACTTGTCATACTCGTTATGTTATGCTGGCCTCTATACATCTGCAGTAGACTACCCGCGGTTGGTCTCATTGTTGGGTTCGGATCCGTCATTCTTTTTATGATCCTCGCCTATAAATATCAATTCAAAAAATTTTTAAACATTAACGCACAGCATTTGACCAATTCTTCTTCAAAATTTCGGGTAAAATTTGATGATCTCGAAGTTCGGTTATACTACTGAATTTTTCCATATCGGTTGAAAATTGACTATAGAGCTCGAAAAACACAACTCCGGCACTGTAGATATCAACCTGAAAATTTTTGAAATATGAAAATTTTTCTTCAACATCCTAATATATACCATATGTCCATAATCTTTACGCTTCAATTGTTCTGGTGCTGCATAGGATACTGTACCAACCCCTATAGTATGTGTTGTTTGAATGGATGAACGTCGTCTTCGTCTAAATAAAAAAAACATGAACATGCAAAGCTGAATCTATACTTTTCTACAATATTGTCTTGATTATTTACAAAGTCAGAAGACCCTTCTAAATTGTCCACGCATGCTAAACCGAAGTCGCCTAACAACAGACGAGTCTTCCCAGGGATTTTCTTCAGAAAAATATTGCTTGGCTGAAACAATAAGTTGCTAACTAGTTTGCACTGATTATTTCTTCAACACCTTAATATCCCTATGAATCAAATGTTTTGAGTGAATATATTCTATTGCAGACAATAACTGCATTTCCAGTTCGTTATTGAAAGCTTCATCGATAGAATTCCCTAAAAAAAGGATTTAACAACATAAGAAAATGTTAAATTCTGCCTTTGCTTTCCGCAGGTTTATTGCGTTCAGATAGAAACTCTGACAGTGTTTTCGTGCATAACTCCATCTGGATATAAATTACTAACTTCAAATTCTACAAACATGATATGAAAATGGAAGAGAATGCTTATAAAACTACATTTTTCGCGTAGTCCATAACCTCAGTCTTATCTTCAGGTAAGCTGTCCATCATAGATTTACTACAACTAGGTTCCCCGTCGGTTGTCACGGAGTCAACAGCTTTGGCCCAGAATTTACTTTTGCCGTCAAATTTGTTCTCTATAAAGTTATTTATTTAGATGTTCACAACATGTATTCACAAGGTCTACCTTTCTCTTCCGCTTTCATGTCATCATCATCATGAGAGGATGATGATAAAGAACCGTTCTTATCACCATTGCTTCTTTCGAAATATCTGCAAAATCGTGAGCTGAAAAATTTTTGAAGCTCGCAAACGAACATTCCATCCGCTTCAATTGAAGCTTGAGGAGAGATATCATCCTCTGTTTCTCTCTGACTAGGCCAACTATCATCCTCTTTACTGAAAAGCGGTTCTTATAGCCTTTTATAATAATAAAAGTAACTACATTTCAGTGATCTTTAAAGGTGAGTTCGGACATGAACTGATTTCGTTAGAACGCCCCATATCCACCCAACCAGAATGATAACGAACTATGTTTTTATGATTCAACTGCGCTAGCACTTGCAACTCGTTTAAAATCTAACTATTCAATTATATTTCGGCTTACGGGTCTACTTGCCTTTGCTGAATTTTCGGGAAAACGCTTTTTGAATTTGATTTTTTTTATGGCGTAGAAACAGTTATCAATTCGGGATTTAACCTAAACATGGGAATATGATCAAATACTTATATTTTTTTCACCTTATGAACTGTTGCAAAACCTCCACGTCCAATTTCTTCGTATTCAATGAAATCTGTTTGATATCGATCTCTGCTTTTATTAAAATGGTTCTCACTACCGAGAAGACTAAATATAATCATCATCACTCAAAGTTATTTTATCATTATGATCATCTTACGGCTTATATACAGTCTGAAGTTGTGTTGAAAACGATTGACTAATAACATCTGATAAGAGTCCTGAGAAAGCATTTCGAATAGCAGAATAATCATCGGAAAGAAAAGTGGATGGTATCAACTTCAGTTTTATCATAATGTTGCACAGTTCTGAGAAAATGTTATTTATCTTACAATTATGAAATTGCTTACCAGCTTTTATTTGAGATCTACTATTTACAGGGATGCTATCACAGAAAAAGTCCAAAAGAAAAGTAGCAAGCATAGCTTGCAGAGTTTTCTCTGAACCTTGAAGCTCAGCTTCTTGTCTTTTATGAGTAACTAACGTACCACTTGCGGTATGAGCTTGAACATGACTGATCACGACACAAAAAAAAATCACTGCTCACCGTTTCTAAATTTTGATTTCCGTCTTGGCTCAGCCAAATATGAATCTGCATGTTGGTTCCACAGATCCTGTTTACGCATTTCTAAAACTGAAATACATGTTAAAACGAAATCATTAAGTTAATTAAGAATGAAGGGTAGGCAGTATCCCGTACACTAATTTTGCTTTCTCAGAAAATACTCTTAGATTTATCAGAAATGGAAACTATGAATATTAGAAATCACAGGTGCCATCTTTCCAGCCATCCTTCCATCGTTCAAAAACATTGGAACAGTCAAAGTCAGGTTTTCCGAGCTTGCCATTAACCTATGAAGGATCTTTCAAGTACAGGTTCCAAATATGCTAGTTGAAGGTATTAAAATGGCGGAGATTTCTTATCTTTTATCAATGTTATCAAGAATATGCCATTACAAACCTTATTGTGCAGATGACACATCCACAAAGCGAACTCTTTTCGATTAGTCAGATTGGGTGGTTCTTTTTTCAAATCTTTTTGCAGGTCTTCAGCGCATACTTCACATGGATATGTCTAAAGAGCCGTTTCTTCTTCTATATGATTAACAACAAACCTTTCCTAAGTTTTCCAGAAAATTAGCAGTTGCGGTTTTTTTCTGCTCTGTAGGATTCTCAGGATAGTACACGCTCATCGTATGCAAGAGATTCCATGTTGACCTTCCTAAATACTGTGACTGTTCCAGAACTATGAATTAGATTGGAACCTAATTCGTCTTTATCTACAGGACAATTAGTGTGATGATCACTGCTTGTTGTAGGGTATTGTTGTTTCATATCTATCTCCGAATTAGTGCTTTGAGAATCTTCCAAAATGAAAGAAAGATGTATGAGAAATTTAGAAGTTCATACTTTTCAACTTTTTCTCGGCCAGTTCTCTCCCTTTCTTCATCATTTCTTCCACTGAAATACAAGCTCTACACGGCTTTCCATCAGGACCTATTTCGAACCCTTCCATTTCTGATGGAAATAATCAGAATAAAACAATGAGTTTGAAATACTTAGTGATCAAAGCGGATTACACTTGAAAACATAAGAGAAACTATTCGAAGACATTTATTACGGTATCGAATATGTATATGCTAATCTTTGTTTAAAGCGACATTGTCTCGTTTAGATTTAATTCAATAGGTATACATAAGTGGTAGGAATTCAATGTTATGCAATCAAATACTGTGTATAGTACTTTTGGAATAAATAACTTTAAAGCGACAATGATGTTGTAGAACGAACTTAGCTCGAAACCTACAACTCTCTCGCTAGTGAGGTCTGCCACGAGACTTCACTACTTCGCTTTCTTCCGCTGAACCTCTTTTACTCGAGATGTCTGGACTGCCACGAGGAGTTTTCAACAAATCCTGTTAAAGCATATACGTCTCAGTACGTTGGTATATAACTTTTTTACCTGAATATGCTGAACAAGCAAATCGATTGCTATATCATTCTCCCCTCCTCTGGGAATTATAACATCAGCCCACTTTTTAGTAGGTTGACAAAACTCTTCAAAAGCAGGTTTTACCTGATGATCAAAATAAAATAATTGAAAAACATAAAGCTTTCATACTCTCTTGGTATAAGAATGCAGAACGATTGCAAGAGACCGTTTTCTTTCAACAGTATCTCTTCTAACTGAAACAAAACTGTAGTTGAATAACCAAGCTTTTACTACCTCTACGAGCAAGTCTGATATCAGCGTCTGCATCTACGAAAAGTTTCATAGAGAATTTGTTTCGCAGCAATTCGTCGTAGAATATCAAAATTCCTTCAACTATTATAACATCTGCAGGTTCTAAATGAAGTGACCCGTTTCTGCAAAATAGAAAAAATCTTTGTCCTGCTCGTTTGAATATGTTGAACACCTTCTGCTTTCAATGAAATCATATTTGGGAATATCTACTGCTTGTCCCCTCTCAAGCTGCTCCAATGTTTTCAATAGTAAATCAAAATCGAAAGCGGCTGAGAGAAAAAGTCAAATTAATCAATAAACACAAACCAACATGGATGGTCAAAATCGAATTCTCCTGTCAGTGCCTTACAGCGATTCTCTTCACTCAGCTCTTTGTAAAAAGACTCGAGCGGAATGATTATGACCTAGAGTGGATATTTGATCCCGTGTAACAAGTCATACTTACTTGTTTCTTTCTACTCTGCAAATCTGCGAGACGTTCCATAATTTTTTCAGTTACTAAAGACTGAATTGAGGTAACTACTTCGATAACTATTAACTGAATAATATTACCTTTCCGGAAGCTGTACCACCAGCTACACCTATGATGAATGGGAGCCTATTAGAACGCATCGTTGAGATCCTCCTAAACATGGCAGCTATGACAAAAACAGTCGAACGAATGAACGATAGGATACGATAAAAATCGAAGCTGTAGAAACATTACACTCCCCTCCTACAACTATCAAAGACCTTTTCAATCACGAATGATAGCATAATATACACATCTTACACCAATTCATCAGAATGACCCACCGCGTACATATCAAAAAAATCCAACTACATGGACACAAAGATAGAAATCTTTGTTATGCATACCATGGCAAGACATTTGAAGGCAAGCCAGTATTTCAACATTAACAAAAAAAAGCCAATGAAACTTCATTGCAAATCAACAAATAACAACGAATTGCCTTAAGCAGACTCGGTTGGGACACTGCGGATGATATCGGAATCTCCTGGATCGGTGACGGCCAAAGAGCACACACGGTAAAGACGTCCACAAGCGGTTCCAAGTTCAATATTGTTTCCGTTGTAATGATGAACTCCTGTCTTGGCCAACATGGCGTAATATTCAATCTCAGACTTTCTGTAATCTATTGATAGAAAATTGATTTTTTTACAATCTGACCTAAGTGGAGGGGTATTGTTGGCAATGAGGATAAGCTTAGCCTTTCCGTTGCGGAGGGTCTTCAAGGTTTCCTTGTATCCCAAAACGTACTTTCCGGTCTTCATTACCATGGAAAGACGAGAGTTGATGTTGTCGGCATTCTTCTTGACCTACAAAAATAATATTTATACAAATTCAGTACCTCGAACAAATCGTTACGGAGCATCGAAAGCTTTGAAGGACCACGACATTGACATGAGTGTCAATGTAAAGAGTTCTTTACTTCCTTCTCAATTAATCAACGACTCCAGATCACGGATCCTTCTCAGCCATACGATCAACTCCAGAAGTAAAGACTAACCTGAGTCTTCTTTGGAGCAGCAGTGGCTCCGGCACCAGATGAAGCATTTGTATTGGCAGCAGCCATGTCAACGGATTTACCTTAAAAACAAATTTTCATAAACTAAACATGAACCTATTCAATCAGAACTAATCAAGAGAACATAAGTATAACAGCTTAGTTTAGGACTATTACGAATCTAAAAGCGAAAAAAATACAGAAAGAGATCAGGGTCATCGTCGTGGGACTTTTTGTTTCAAAAGGGTCATAAAATTAGCATTAGAGCAGTCTTCAAATATCATTTCTAATCTATTCGAGATACGTTCGATTGCAATTCTAATGTCCAATTAATGAATGAAGGAAAGGAAACATCTGATAATACTTGTTTAGAACCCGAATATGGGAAATCTAAAAATTTTAGATCTTATTATTTCTTCGACCTGTTCTTTTCGCTATCATTGGATTGGTTTAGATCATGTTATGATTGAATCTACTGAAACCCAAGAAAAAAACGAATATCGCTGTAACTTCGGGAGGCTGATGTATATGATGATGCTCCAAAGCAATACTGATTCACATTTTGTAAGTAAAAATTACAGATTTATTACTGAAACAGTCCCGGTGTTTGCGAGTTATTGTAAGAGAAAAACATCACTACTCTTAAAACGGAAGTTGAGAAAACTTCCAACGTTTATTGTTCTTCAACGAATTCTCTTTTCTCATGTAATAACATTCATGTTATTTTCAATAGGGAAGTTGAATTTCTTCAATATTAGTGAAACATTTGTTTATATTTGTGGACTGAAAGTCTATAATCTGACTTGCAAATATGGACACGTTACTTTTTTGATTCACAATCTCAGCGAAGAACCAAATCCACGTCTGAGGTCAGAAATAGGTCGTTAGATGAATAAACCTCTAAAAGAAACATAGTTCCTAAAAAGATCATGTTGATTGCATGTCTTGTAGGTATCGGAGGATGAATACAAAAGATTTTAATCTACGAAAACTAAATCGTGGATGAAAAGTCACGTTTTAGATGTGTCCAGTTTCCATAACAGTATATGTCTCGGTCATTATTTGCTTTACACTTTTTTTTTGAATATATCAATGTTTCAGATACCTTGGCCCTGTTTCTTATCATTTACATTTTATCCCAAACTTCTTTTTGTGATAATTAATTAGGTTCTAAATGCCTTGCTGGGCATTACTACCCGGCGGGCTCATTCTATCGTCGAATCGGTTGTCCCCGTCCCCGTGTAAATTATTAATCTTACAATTTATTTGGATTTTACCATACATTTTGGTAAGTTCATGTCATAGGAGAAATTTCATGCTAAGTTTCTCGTTGAAAACTAAACATGTTACAGCTTGCTAATTATCTCGAACGATCTCTTCTGCCTCTCAGGCTGCTATGTTATACTCAATCTGACTTATTGGCTGCACAACCACTATCTCCAGATTTCGGGACATGTAAAGACTTGTTACAACACAGTGCATGTTCTCTATTTTAGGTTTGAATCGTTTCTTCTCTCAGCGTGAACCAAACCCGGAGTGCCAATTGTCCACCCCACCTAAAGTTTTGATAAAACCCTCTCTCCCCGATAAGCCGGAAAGAGTTTTGGTAATAAGAACAGGACCTGGTTCCTTGGATTATAGGAACTTCATAAGAAGAACGTGGAAACCTAAAGTACAGCAATCGCAATATATAGAGTAAAAAAACATTTAGATTGACTCGTACGCACCTGTTATATTTGTATGTGCCACATCTCCCCGCTCAGAAGTTGAAATTGAAGCAAAAAAATACAACGGTTCTCTGAAGCTGTTCTGATCACGTTAATTCTTAACTTGTAGATATTCTTCAATTTGAGTTTGCGGATTCTTACCATAACTTATCTTGGAAAATGATGGCGATATATGGGTTTGTACTTCGGGAACTCCCAACCGTTCAGGAGATAATAGTTATAAATGACGACACGATCGTGAATGCCACATCTTTGAGAACAGCACGTTTTCCGTTTAGTTGAAAAAAACGAAAAAAACTTTTAGTTATCACGTCCCATGCCATCATCGAAAGCTTGGATTATAGGAAAAATTTCTAGAGGTTACCCCCGCCTGTTTATGTCTTGGCTTCCATGGCATGTTCCTGGGGAAATGTATCCACATCTTTGCTATCCTCGCTTCACACAGGTAGAAACGAAAACAGAAAAATAAAGCTGAAAAATTCATTTAGGGATCCTCTTTCATACTCTCGCGAGAAGGAGCTCGTTTGCTTTTGGATACCGTCTGCAAAGTTCCATTCGTACATTTAGACGACATCTTCGTTGGTAAGCAACTTATATAGTTTTGGATTATATTATTATGAAGGCGTCATATCCAACTGCATTTCTCTTCATCAAATTCATCATGATGGCTTTGACAAGCACACGTTCTCCGATTTCGTTGTCTACCATTATCAATATTCTCGTCATTCACCTGAATACCTGGAAGAATTGTGGCACTCATCCTATCAAGCGCTGGATTGAACGAAGAATTTAGTGGATCACAGCAACCAATTTAGTTTCGTTAAATGTTCCGAACAGTCTTTTGAAATACAACATTTATCATTTTATTAATATTATTAGAATAAATACAGTACAAGAGAAATTAACTAGGAACTAAAGATGTGATGCTAACCGTGAGTAAAGTTTGATTTGAGTTGCAAGTCCGTAGTTCGAAATCACAGAATAGAGGAAATTATTAGAAGTAATGCCTCTATGCAAAATTCTAATAAATAGAACTTTTGAGAGCATATTGGAAACCGTAAAGCAGATCACCGAGATATTCATTGAGAGGCAAAAATAAAGCCGATCATCAACGTAAAACTAAGACTAGTCACCATTTAGAACACTGAGCTTTAGAACTGATATGGATCTATTAGGAGCTGAGGAATTTTTTAAGCTATGTATATATAATAGAATATTACCCGGAAAGAATGAGTTACGCATGGCATCCGACATAAGTAAAAGGCCACAGTTACTAGATATGCTCATGGATATCATAATTAAAGCCTGAGAAAATATTATAAGCAGAGGCAAGCTCAACAAAATGTCGGGAGACTTCTGAAGCGTTCAGACGTATAATGTTCAAAAGTACAGTGATAAATGGGTAAGCTCAATGGAAGGTATGCAATGTTAGAAAGACTGAGGAAATTGAAAAGGTGATGTGAGTTTGAGATTAATTGGGAGATTCTCCTAAATTACAGGCCCCAACACATTTAGAAGAACTAGAATAAACACATTAAAGACATTGGACATATCACTTGTACCTGGTTTTGTCCATTCCGGATAAAACTGGGCTAGCTGTACAGTTATTCGGACTTTCTATGAAACGCCAATGTTTGATAACAGGACCACAATAGGACAACATGATTGGCAGAACAAAAAGACCGAAGTAGCATCCGCTGAGTACACTTCCCAAAAACATACGAAAATAAAAAACTTTGAAAAACTGAGAGTGTGAGAATGCCAGAACGATAGTTCCTATCAACATGGTGAGAAAAATGCCAGAAAATACCTTAAATAGTGTTAAATATACTTGATAAAAAATCAATCGTACTGTTGGACCAGCTATAGTAAGTGCTTCTTTAGCCCTCTCATCGCGATTGCATTTCAGCGAGCGAGAGAATGCCATGATCATAGGTATAAAAAACTCCAAAGATGCTCCAACACTCTACAATATTTTCGTTATCCACACAAACATTAATTGTCCACCATTATCAAATTAACAGCGGTAATTGGATTGAATTCAATATTCCATAACCACATCACACTGACTTGAACGAAAAGATGGCATACAGAAGCAAGAACTAGGTGAAAAAAAATATAATTACTGAAAACTCAGAAATATAGAATACCTAAAAACATTCCAAACACAGCATCCAAACCGGAAAGTAAACTAACGGTTCCGAACACTGCGGACATGGCGATAATCAACTGTGCAGCGGCTTCCTTCTGATGAGTAAGATAATGATCATAGAACACGTAGTATGAGCTGAAGCAACTCTTTTTTATAACGTCTCACGATAATATAACCTGTACGGGAAGACTTTTACTGAATAATTGAGCTCATGTTCAATTTTACGGGCGACCATCCGAGCTCCTTCCATAGCAGCTGAAATGAAAAAACAATTCAATGAATTAGAGACTGTTGACATACAAATAAAATCTGACGAGTTTCTTAAAGTTCGGTGGTAGGTCATAAAATGACTTGCTTCAAAATGACCACGTGGATCCAAATAAACGGAGTCCTTGTACACAACACCTCTGAAAAACCGACATAGCTGTTTCAGAACAACAATAACAAACCCTTTCATGCATTCTCTATTTGGTGGGTCTTGAAGATAAAAAGTGATAAATTTATAGAAAGCGTCTTCACTAGGCCTATTCTTGTTTGTAAGGCTATCACAAACTTCACAAGATTTCCCTAAACAAAAAGGAAAGTTAAACGTGAACTTCATCATCGAAAATACCGAAACGATTTGAACTCGGACAGAACTCTAACAATGTACTGTTGGTGACAACTTTGCAGCATCCACTATCAGGGTTTAGCCATTCCAGGTAGTTATCAATCCAATTCAAAACAGAACCAGCCAAATGAGTTCTGCGCATGAAGGTTATATAAACGTTTCTTCGCATGACAAAGATACTTATTAGAACTGGCTATTGCTTGATTGAGTATAGCTCCAACTGAGTTCTCAGCACACCCCGGTAGCGTACAAAACTTATCCTGAATGAGACAAACACATGAAATGCTTCAATTGTTTTAATCTTTGATACCTGCCAAACTTTCTTAGAAAAGTCCACATCACCTTGAACAACAAAGTAGACCGGTGGTCCAACATTGAGGTACTTATCCATATTTTTGAAGTGTAGGAATACGTATGAGTCCTTGAATTTACATGAATAAATTTGAAAAAAAATTCAATCACCTCAGGTACAGCCATTTTCTGATCCAGTCCTAGTCTGATTTGAGAAAATCCTATTGGTGAAATGATAAGGATTGAGCACGTCAATGCAACCTGTTCACAAATTATAATGTCAACAAACATAACAGCTCTTACCACAAAAGTTTTAACTGCAGGTCTCATAAGAAACGGTGCCGCGTACTTCTGTATTATAGTCTTGATATATCCATCGTACTCGACCGGTTCAGTTGGGTATTTACGGAAGCAGCACAGCTCAGGGTACCCATTCTGAATAGTAAGTATGCATAAAGCAGCAAAAGAGATCTACCTACCTTTTCTCGTCTATAGTCAATTATGACAAGGGGAGTGAAGAAAGTTGAGAAGTACATAAGTTGAAATATCATTCCTAACGCCGCAATAAGACAAAAGCATCTTACTGCAGGAGCTCCCCAAATAGAACCTGTATGCGTTGAAATAGTGTGACTTTGATAGAGAAATTACCGATGAAAAAGCAAGAGCTTTGGGCTACTGTGCAAAGGATGAAACTTGGGAAAACTTCACCACATACATGGAACATCAATGTAGAAACATTGTTATGTATAGCGGAAAGTCTCTGAAAAAGTAGTGTAAAAGATGATGTGTGTTGTTCGTACCATGACAGCAGAAACAACACTGAACATTCTATTCGCTCCAATGACAAGCATAACAAAAAATTGAACAACTAGAGCACTTTGGGGTACTATCATTCCATACATAGAGAAAACTCCAATTGAACTGAAGTAACATTAGGCTTGGATTACCGCCTTTCAAAGAATACCTTATAACACTGGCGAATATACAAAACATGCCTCCCACACCGATAGTCAACTTCGAATGTATTAAAATGGATAACAATCTATTATTATCAACGTTATAAGTACCTAGAGCGAAAATAACGTAAGAGACCTGAAAATTGATTCATTATCTCAAACTAAGTAAAATTCATACCATTAAAATACAAGAAATCATTATTGTATAGCCATCTGATTCACTTTCTCTTTGAATTTCGTCCTATAATAATTCAAAAAAACTCTTAAGTATTCCTGAATACATACAGATATTGATCTTTCAGCCATGAATGAAACTTGCACAGATTCATGCTTATACTCCTTAAGATGGTTGATAAAGCTGCAAACATAGGCGTAATTTTTAAAAAAAAAAGGGACTAAAACCTTTCTTCCCAAGCCAACGCTTTCTTCTTATTCACCCTACCACTGATTACGAAAGCAATATTGATGGCAGTTGAATTATAGAACTGAAGAAAACGAAAATGGTCAATCGTGCAACTGTTAGAATCTCACGTAATCAGTAGCATTGCTACCTCCAAACAATGGCAATGGTGTCAGGGGACCTCCAAAAGATCCGTGACATGACAATCCCAGATGTGTTTCGAATGAATAAGGATTTCTGATTAAAAATTAGAATTTTATCATTAATAAGAGTTTTCTCACTTTATACAATCGTAGAAATGATCCAAGTAATTGTAAACAACTGGGGGAAGGTCTTCTTCATCAGAATAGTAATCAAAAGTTTCCGGCCCTGCTTTTGGCTTGACGGTAACAACTTTATCAAGCAAAGTTACGTTGTGCTAACAATCAGTGTATTGAACGTTTGGCTATTAACTCTACCTGCATATAATTAGTGGGACTATTTATTAAACAGTCAAAAGTGGACCCGAGAGGTCTGTGGCAAATATCAGCCAAACTAACAGAGAAACCGTCTTCCGTAGTTCCGACCAAGTTCGTAATTGAATTAACTAGATTGAAAACCTAGCAGTTACATATAATTTTAAAAGAGGATCTGTAAAACTCCCAACCTCTTTCAGAAAATCCTTGTGAAAAATCGGGCCCATCATTAACTCTTTTCCCTGAATGCCAGTCATATTTTTAGGATAGACCGTCAGTTGTTCGATACGGTAGAAAGGGCTTTAAAAGAAATATTCTTCAGAAAAAAAAGACAATAGACTTACGCAAAATGAGTATCAAAAAACTTCTTCTCTATTCGAGCCCTACTGTTTGGTGCAGACCACAGCTCCACCGGATCAGAAGTTACGTTCACGAAAAGGATTCCAAAACTGCTCACTACGAAAACGAACAAGCCGAACGCGATAAGAGAAGAGTATTTACGGCAAGTAAACTCTCCTAGCATCGAGCAACTGATCTCGATCTGTTTTTCTATCCAAAACGCCACGCTATCAATGGTGCCTGGATTCGTTTCTACACCCTGTAATGAACATAATTTTTGATCAAATAGATTTGATTGAAGCAGGCCCACATCATTCTAAATTGGCAAAAAAAACAATAAATGAGTGTATCGAGGTGTGATCACGTGCAATTTATTACGAGAGAAAGGTTTAACTGAAAATAAAAAAAATTCACAAACTTTGTAATCAGGCAAAGGTTCTTCTCCAGTTTTGCAAACGTTGGCAGATACCACACAGAAGAGTATGGCTACGAAAATAATACAGGAAACTCCCAAGAACCAAGAAGTGCACCCAACCCCAAGTAGTGAACATACTTCCTGCAAAACGGTAACATAACATTGGAAGATAAGAAAACTATGGAGTTTTTGAGGTTGAAACCACGCATGGAAAATACAACACAACCTTGAACTCGTTCAATAGAATATAGGTCTACCCAAAAGTTTCGATCAGTATCCAAATCTTTAACGTGACAGACAGTCAAGATCATCAAGTTCAGTGAATCGCCGGATTTGTAACTTTTTTTAACTCATAATTCAAAGATCGTCGCGTATGCTTTGCATATGATTAATAAGCAGTCTGTATGTTGGAACAGAATGGCAAATAATGTACATATGACATATACAAAGAAAACAAGCCTACATGTTTCTTCATGTTTAAACTTTCGTGTGAACTACAAGAGAGTTCTCCGACGAAAACAAACGATCGAAAGAAGAATGCTTCTGTGACTCACTTCTATAATAACTGTGTACATCGACCATCATAAAGAAGCATAAAATACAGAACACACTAAACTAGACCACGCATTACATGGGGATGCTCATTTCTAAATCTGGAAACTGACCTGCTCAGTTTGATATTAACGCTAATCACGAGAAATTAACTGAATCTTTCTCAAAATTTTGGTCAGCTCTCGCACAACAATTATACCCCAAAAGTCAACATGTTTGCTAATTCGTGGCCATTTTTTTCAAGAGTTCTCTGCTCTAACAGAAAAAAGTATGAAAAAGCTATAATTCGTGACCTGACGTATAAGGATGTTCTCACGCAATCTTCAAAGCCCTGTACATTGTAGCAAGAAGACAGTCTTTGGCAAAATCATTATTTTTGCTAATACTCTATACTATTATTTTACGGCTTGTTTCCTAAGTTAAAGCCTACGTTGCTGGGGAATATGTGAGAACTTTGAGACTACTTAACAAACACAAAAGGGAAGGCTCACGATGGAACCTTGTTGCTATGAAGTTGAGCAACGTTTAAGCTTTTCAGCTCGAACGGAATAGCTCACATTTCATAAAGATCAAAAATGAAAGTTAAAGAGCAGTTCTACAAACAAAACTTCTACAGCTCTACATATCTACAGTTCAAAACTAAGGCAGGAAAAGTCTGCAAGTGAACGAAAAGTTTCAAACTCCATGTTTTATTGGGTCTATAGCATGAGGGCTTTCTGCTTTTAATACTCACCATAGTTCCTTGATCTTCTGGAAAAAACTCTTGTTCATCATCAACACTTGGACAGTCATATCTGCTACATTTACTCATCCCGAGTCGAGCTGCTTGATTACATTTAGAAGCGCCTTCGGTCATATACGTTCTGGAGTGATCATTCTAGAAACATCAGAAATTTGTTTTCAGACATCGGAAAGTTATTCAAACTGAGTTATGAAGAACGAAGTCAATATTCAAAGGAATTCCATAAGAAAGATCTTGAGTACCCATATATTTCAACCATTTATCCCTTGAGCAAGTTTCGTTGTGACTTAATTCTCCACACATGAGGCTCAACGACATTGTGTCAGAATTAGGTAAATGAACCTGGAACAAAGTATATATCAACTCGTATAGATTCTTCAGGGATCCTACGTTTTTGCATGATTCATGAAGAGAAGTGGCAAAGCTTTCCGCAACATGATACCGCACAGAATTCACATAGGTCTTGTTGCTGTTCGGTACATCAAAAACTTCTTGAATCTATAATAGTTAGTAATATATTGGCTTGAACTGGAATAAAGCTACTCATAAATTACGCTCTCTCTCTATCACTGTGAATCATATGGCATAGTTAACAGATAAAAACTAATCATAATCTTTGGAGATAAGCCCCAAATGGTAATTAACTGTTCAAAAAGTAAACTTCAAATGTTCAACAAATATAAAAGCGTACCGTTACAAAATCCGACTGTCTGGGTGAGCAAGTGAACTCACACCACAACTTTTGAAAGTTATCAGAACAAGATGGGCATCGCGATAACAAGCCATTAGCCTGTCTTAACTTATAAGCCATATCTTCCAACTGGGCAGATGAGCAACACAAAGGTTCATTCTTGCCTTAATCCTTCACATAAAACAAATTGTGAAGAGAGATACTAACGATTTCCCATATAGGGACAGAAAGATTCTAATAATTTGAGAGATGCTTCGTCCGTCACCTTCACGGGTTCTTTGTTGGGGTTAGGACAGTTCATGTTCTGACCATTTTCTCGATGGCAAGTGTCGTACATGACACATTTTGTTTGAACGACTGAAAGAAAAAATATAGGTTGCCTAAAGCATTGACTTACATCGTATAGAATTGAGGAGCAATAGAAAGACTATGATCCGTCCCGTTTGTCGTATATTGGTATATAAATTATAAAATAACATACTTTTCATTGATCAATTAATACATATATCTGAAAGTATGAGAAATAGGAAAGATACGATTAAACAATTCAGTTTCTTAGCCAAATTGCTGAAGTAAAGTACGTTGGTCGATTCGAGAAATGTTTTAATAAAAAGGTCAAGTGTTTCTAAGGTTATATCAACGCATAATCGAGAAGTCTGGTTTTAGAAGAAAGTTAGATCAACGGATGAAACTCTATTATAGGAAGAATGCACATTACATGGGAGAAGAGGAAAAACAAAACTGTGAGACTGTCACTCTATAATCTTGTAGCCAATCATATACTCCCTCATAGTACAGATCAGTTTTAAAACATAACCAGGTGGTCTTATATAATATCGGATGACTAACATATTATCAAGCAGAAGAGCAACTAAACATTTTTATGATAAGAAAGGCATGAGCTGTCCACTTTTGTTCGACTAATAAATTCGTGAATGTTCCTAGTAAATGTACATCGTATGGTCTACTGATAGAAATTAGAATGAAATTTCTCAATGGAACAGTTGAGAAGACGAAGGAGGAGGAGGAGACCTGTGAGAGTCGCCATTGACTCCGCCCAAACGAACCAGCACACTGCTGCTGATGATGGTTGGAAACAGGAGATGGAGCGCACACGCCAACGGCATATTTTATTTGTCCACGATGATTCATATCAAGATCAAAAGCAAATAGAATCCGAGGAAAGTCATCGAGCAGTGGCCAAGCTAGTTAACTGTGAACACAAAAGAAAATAATAAATGGAAAGACAAAATGTGTGAAGAAAAAAAAAGATCAACGAAGCCAAGGCGATGATAACAATGATAATCACGGAAAGTTAGGTTATGAGAGAGACATCGGACGATCACTATCACGACTAACAAGAAATGGAAACGAGGACAATGCAGAGAATGGTGGAATGGAAGAGAGAGAAAAAGGGAGAGGGTAGTTGTGTTCATGCTGTAGTCGTTTTGAATACAAACAAGCCCACGAGAAGGTTTGAAAAATTTCCACCGGCAAGTCCATACTAGTAGACAATAAAGTAATAACAAGAACGCAAACGAGCAAATGTTCTCACATTTTGAGCCTTTGAAAAAACCTTGAGGTCATTAGAAGTTTTCATTCATACAGAGTGGTTTGCATCAACATTATTCTCTACGGCTCTCGAGTGATTAAAAGTACTAGTAGACGAGAGAATTAAACTATTACTCTATACTGTTTGTATTCCTCAATAATTAAAACAATACTTTGATACGTTCCGTAGATCACTGAATATTTTATGATCAACAGCTGAAGCGTTTGTTCATGGAACATGAAGAAAGATTTGGGAACTTCGTGTTATATGAAAGACAGTTGGGTGATCCTACTGATGAAAACCTGGCAAAGTCGGAGAACGTATAAGAAAGTACTAATAGGATGTCGGAACAGTCTTTCTACAAGACAGAAGAAGCTCTTATTAACTTGCGATAGAAATATATTCGCCGTTGACACGGAAAAGTAGAAGTTGGTTGCTAAGCAACGAGGATATAAAAAAAATGAAGAAGGATATAGACGAAGATGTCAGCTAATAAGGTAAAACTCACACAAATTTAGTTATCTTAATCCAAATTGCCATTCATTAGTTATTTTGTACAATACAGAGGAGGACGGAGATAATTCCACCTGAAACTAATCGAATTAGCACAAACTCATGACCAAAATAGAAAAAAACGATAGAAATGTTCAATTAGTAGATTATGAAATAATGAGCTTACAAAAAAAATCCGATACACAATAAAGGGGGGTATGAGGACGGCATATATGTGTTCGTAGCCGTGAATATCGACAGTAAACAAAAAAATGGAAAACACCAAGTTTTCTCACAACAAAGATAACTTAGCAAAAAACTTGAAACCTCTAATTCTGAGAATTGAAAAAGCAAGAAACTGAAGACAATCAATAGCACAATAGGAAAAGCTGGACATCTGGCACAACATGAAAAAAATTCCAAAAAGAATGATTAATTCCGGCTTAAACCCTACGTTTTCGGAATATAAATGAAATTACTTTCTCACAAGCAATAATCACTGAAGTTGAAATAATCTGCGGTTTAATGGTCTGTTATTCATGAAAACGAACTACGATAAACATTTGAATATGAGCATATTATGATAAATCAGGTACTTGCTTGACATATATCAGTAAGCTGCCTTTTGTCACACGTGAATCAGAAAAAAAACTTAAAAACACAGAGAAAAAAACAATGAAAAGAAATAATAAAGCAGAGAAAAAAATATAAAAAGAGAAAAACAGTTCTAGAAACGAAGCTGACCTACAAGTTTGCGAAGGAGGGATACTAGCTGTCTTTGTCACCCAAACAGCAGAGGCTCGCGGCGCTCAAGCCCAGCATTCCATATAGAGAGCAACTCTCAATGTATGCTAGCAGAGACACCAGACAACAAAGAATTGGCACTATTACGAACAAGGCTCTGGATCAAAACTGATGTTCATCCAGCCATTCCAATTAATGCGTACAAAAAAAAGTACACAGCGAAACCATTCATAACTAAAAGAAATGCGCATGTTTTTGGGCTTGAGAAATACACTTGTCTCGAAGTTGTCAGAGAACTCGTTCAGACATATCTGTTTCATGCTCAAAAGTCTGTGTTGACAACAGCTATTAAGGATATAATCGATGAGTCATGATACGTTCAAAACTCATGGAGGAACATTTGAGGTGTTGCTGACGTCATTTTCGTGTACACTTATACGCAAAAAAATAACAAGATGGTTTTATTTGGAAACGTTCTTCATGAAAATAACTTATACAACTTTCGATAAAGTTCATATTACTAAATGTCGCTTCTTTTGTTTTGCACTTCGAGCATCAATTTCTATAAACTTTCGTCGTCAAAGAGAACGTTTCGCTATTAGTTTACCTCGTTTCAGAAGATCTCGGCGAATCATTTCATCCCTGATAACGTCTTCCAAGAAGCGCTGCTGCAATTGTCTTGATTCAAGTGAGTTTGACTGTTTTCTTTAGTTAATCTCCCTGTCTGGGATAGTGAAGCAAAATATGGTTTTTCTATTCATTCGGATCTCATTATACGACTTCAATCAATTAGGCTCAATTATTTCATTTTTAGTTTCTGCACGCGCCTGAACGAATTCATGAACCACTTCTCTTTTCTCACTAAACGCTCCTAACATACACGCTATTTTTATTTTTTCTATATTTTCAAACAAAGTTTTTGCTTCACAATTATTAGTTTATTCGAGACTGTAAATGTTCTCAATAATCAAGCTATTGGTCTAATTCTTAAAGCATTACATCTATTATTGTCTATTCGCGCTTCATAGAAGCTAGGAGAATTTATTCTCAGTTTTAAAGAACTTACAAGTCTTTTCTCTTTTTCTTTATTAATGGCTTGCTGGAGACGGAAAACAAGAGTATCGCTGCTCGCAGTGTTTAAAAATATTAAGAAGAACATCATTATAGCTAAGTACTTCATGATCCCTGAAATATAGTAGAAATTCTCGAAGCTTCGAAATGTCGGGGAAACTGTTGATGAAAAAGTGAAATTGTGAAATGAAAATGGTTTGTGTAGAAATGCATGAATGCTTCTAATTAGTGAAATATCACAAAAGATTGATTAAAATCAATAGTTTATTGTCAAGAGACTTGAATGTTATTTTACAGAATGTCGAACATTGCTGTTCGATTATCAAATGCTGAAACGAACTGCGAATTGTTAGAGATTGTGAAAGACATAGAAGCTCACACTCGTGATTCTCCTGAGAGGTGAGACTAGGTAGCCATATACTTCAAAAACGGATTTTATAGATCTGTTAGTTATGCACATTGCTTGGGCGGACTATTTTCTAATTCCTCCTCTTTAGTTCGAAAAGGTTCTTTGAATTCAGCTGTCATTGTAATCGCAACGACTCCAGGGGTTTATTTTGAATTTTTTCGAGAAATTTATTTCTTTACAGAGTTGGGAAGATCTCATTGCTGCCTATAGGTATGCGATCTTGTCTCCTGATCGTGAAGTTTCACAACATGCTATTACGTTTTTACCCCAGTTCGTTGCGGCTTCGTTAGGTCGGTGAACAAATCGAATTATTTCCTAATTATAATTTATAGAAAACGCTGATAGCTTGATAAAAGCTGCATTAGAGGCAGTTACACGTCATCCTGCGTCAAGTAGCATTCACATTCATGTTTCTCAAGCTATGGAAGTTGTTAAAAATATTGGATTTTTTAAGTTGTCATCAAGATAGGTTAAGTTTATCTCTAGGTGTGAGTATATCAAATAATACTTCGTGTTATTCGACTTCGCGTACATATCTTTAATATTTACATGTTTCTCGTCTTATATGTACATTCCTGTGGGTTGATCTCTCTAAAAATTTGATCTTGTGTTTTCAAAGTAAAATTAGTTTACCATTTCTGCTCTTGGTCGCTCAGAAGAAGGACTCGAAAAAATTTGTAGAATATCCGACAAGCCTACTCTTTCATGCGATCTCAAAAATGAGTTCTGGAAATAAAGTACTTTTCAAAATTTCTTTCTTTCATCGAGTTTTTGTACCAGAACATCATCATCAGGTGCCTCTCCCTGTAAAGTTACTGTTAATTCAAAAATTGTTCGACATTACTCACTGCTATATCATTCTCCTCTGCTGGAAGTTCATGACGACATGTGGGGCACGTGTTTGCCTGAAAAAAATCATGAGTTCATAGGAATTGCCTTCGTCTTTACTTTCTTCAACCATGAGTGAAGGCACCGTGAATGGAAAACATGGTTACAAGGCATTTTTAGTACAGTCGCATAAGGACTTGTACGAACACTTTCATAAGTTCCATAACAATCCATGCAAATGTTACATTGCTCTGATATGGAAATACACGTATCATATGAATGCAAAACTAACCATCTGGATTAACATCTCTCACATCTCCTTGTTCCAAAAGTTTAACAGCTTCCAGCGATGCAGCTTTGAAAGGACCTTAAACAAGTTGCAATTTTAAATCACTAACGCTTCTACTGACCACTATTGGCGTCCACAAAGTCCATCAGCTATAATGTAGCATAATTTGTAATAACGATAGTCCGTAAATACATTATGGATTAAACCAGATAGTAAGAAACAAGAGAAAAAACACAGAAACCGTTTATTCAAATAAGACAGCAACCTGTTAGGTGAAAACCGAGAACATCAGAACAAATAGAAGAATAAATAAAAAGATTGAACATCAGTTTACGATCTTAGAAAGATTTAGCTGCTCATATCCATAGACTCTACAATGTCGTATTTGATTGTTTTCTGTTTCAGCACTTTGGTGCTTCCTTTCTTGAACTTGTAATCCAAATCAACAGGTTCAGGTTTCTTACAGAAGTCAGGAACGATAGGTCCCTTAAAGATATTTAACTTCATTATCGATAAATGTGTGACAGTCTCACCGTGAAGGCCGATTTCTCTTTGGTAATCACAACATAATTCAAACTGTTACCAGAAGCGTTATCGCCATGCATACCAGCATGGAGAGCTTTCTGAACCAACTCAACTGCTTGTTCCTCCTACAGAGAAGAAAACATATATGGATAATGTAAAGTTGCTTACAGTCATATTTGGTTTGAAATCTCTTTCAAGTATTGTGATAGCGGCATAACTACCTGAGCCTTGAGCTGCAAAAGGCTTAGCCATAGTTGTTCCATTGGCTGAGCATTCATAGAGATGTGGCCCTGTTGGATCTACACCACCTTCAACATAGAGCATGAAATACTTGGAACCACATTAATGTATACCAATTAACAAATAAGCACCAACGTGTCCACCATAATTGAACAAGTGCTGCTTAACTCTACGTAAAGCAGTAATAACACGGGCTTTACGTCCGGTTTGAATTTCGAAAAGACGCAAGTCACCTGATATCATTTTGCACACCTTTAAAAAGTATTCAATTATTTATTTCACTGGATAGTTTCACCTGATCAAGATCAGCAGCAGTTCCTGCTCCACAAGCATAGATGGCATCAGTTATATAGTGCACTTTTTCGCAGTGTTTGTCAGCAATAATGTTACCAGCAGTTGCTCGAGAGTCAGCGCCCATCACAAGCCCGCCCTGAATGACTTGTAAAAAAAAGTTTACCATTCTACCTCACTTGATATGTCGCAGCAACAATGGTTGTACCAGTAGATCGCAGCTTGGGTGGATTTGCTCCCATCCTATGAAAACATTAATTTGCTTTATAATTCAACTTACTTGACCATAGCCATATTCCTGATACAGTTGGAGAAATCGAAAGCTCCACCACGATCAGTGTTCATTTCAGTAACGTTTCGTTGCATATCAGTTGCTGCCATTCTTCTGAACAATTTTACTTAATCTAAATACAACAATATTACAAGTCAAAAAGAGGAAAAAGAGCAATGCGAGCCGTATGAAGAGGCTTTTGAAAACGATGACATAATTTTTTTCCAACGATGCAGTTTGTAAACAGCGTGCAGCATGTCAGTAAGGTAAAATGTACCAAAAAGCAATTCCGTGGGAAAACAATCAATTACTTGTGAGAGTGTCGAAAATTGAGATTAAATAATAATTATATTTAATATTACTTAGAAAAGACGAAAGTCCAAACAGTTTTATTGGATGTAAAACGAATAAAAATCGAAAACAGACAACATAATAACTCAATTAAGACAAATTAACAGAAGTATTCAAAATTTGCACAAGTAAATAGCATTGGAGAGATCTTCAGTTTTTGATACTTCTCTATACGAAGACGGTTTCTCGTCTTCGCCGTTGCTAACTTCCAACTCAGGGAAAGGGAATATACGTTCACCACTACAACAAGCAATGAGAGGAACCCGCGGATGAGCGCTGCAGAAAACAACGACGGAAGGATTATTAGAGTAATTTATATGTACCTGACAGCAGGTATAGCACATTCAGCAACTTTGGCCGAAGAAAATGGCATTTTTTCATCTTCATTTCCTGTCATTAAGTCAAAAGCTGCGATTTCTCCGGTTGAAGTTCCAGAGAATAGATATCTACCGTTTCTGAAGAATTATCTGATTTGATATCGAAACGGTAGGCTTACATGTCCAGATCAAAATACATTTTGTGATTAGAATCCAAAGTTCTGTGCAAGGAAAACAATTTTTTACCAAGATTACGTAAATCCCAGCAAGTTATATAATTTGTCTACTCAATTATTTAAATAAATCAAATTGATATTTCATTTACTTTACGTTCACAGCTGAATAATTTTGTTCCATCAGCTGAATACTTCAAGTCAGTGACAGCATTGAAATCTCCACCAAACAGAGATTCGTAGAAACGGGATTTTGGAGAGTACAGGGCAACTAGGAGTTTTTCGATGAAGCACAATGAAATATAAAAGTAAGATACTGAATTTCCCATAACACCCCGCCGCAAAAGTATCATTTACAGGATTCATGGCTATCGAACTAATTATTGCATTCTGTCCAGTTGGGAACGGCTTTTTACCTAAAAGAATCTGTATACAATGAAAAAAATCTCATCCTCACGATGAGTATTTATATCGTATAACTGCTTTCCAGGGTTTCTAACATCCCAAACTTTAATGATTTTTTTATAACCACCATATAAAAAGTTTCCATCTCTAGAGAAAGCGATAGACAAAGCAGCTGTCAACTCATCCTATAAATGAAGAAGTGCACCGCGCCGGTTTTAAGCTTATGGAATAAAGATTATCTTCAAAAACGCCAGGATATTAATATGAACTAACCAAGTGATTGATGCCCCTATATGATGCTTGCTTTTCTCCATTGACATCGAATAAGTGAATAGGATGATATTTCGATGTGCATGCTACGAGATCACCACATGGATGCCATTCTCCTTGATATATGCAATCCCCCTGTGGAATGCAGCTCAATATAGACAACTAGAACATTGGCTATATAAAAATATAAAGGTAACTCTTTCTTACGTTCTCTTTTTCTTCTTGCAACGCGAAAACTCGTAAGTTTCTGTCTTGTGAAGTACTAGCAAGATATTGTCCACACGGAGAAAATTTTACTTGTTTTACATAGTTATTATCGCATACATCAAACCCAAATTTCGGTGCTCCTTTCGAGAACAATTGCCGTTCACTTGAAGAACTGAATTTGTTGAAAATAAAATATGCAACTCACCTATAAACAACATGAGGAACTACTTCACCGGAAAAAGATATATAAGGAACAAGAGGATAACTCACAACGGGAGTGTTTGTTTGTTTTATCTAAGTATACAGTATAACTATTATCATTGAAAAATTAGCACTTCTCGACCAGCTTCTGTCTGCCTTGACTTATGCAACAAGGCTCGCTTCTCCTTTCTGTTTAGTTTGGAGAAGTCAATGTTTTCAAAATTTAGATCAGGGTCTGCAGTATTTAATTCCTCATTATCTAAATTAGATTGCGATCTTAGCTGAAATATTGATAATAAGAAATGAATCTAAAGACTGGTACTTGTGCTAAAATTCCTGAAACTCCAGATTCGATTTTGCGTCTTTTCCACATGGGTTCTTCGTCATGTTGAGATGTGATTTTATCACAAATTCTAACTAATATTTCTCTCACGGCAGTAATTATATCTTCTTCACTCTCCTTCATTATATTTTTCTGAAGCACAAAACGTACGTGGGTAACGAATCAAACAAACTTCATGTTGTAAAAGCTTATCAGAACCACATTCTCTTAACTATAATCAGGATAACATCCTAGATAAAATAAAACTAACTTGTTCTTCAACTCCAAGTTCCTGAAGAGTGGTCTCTGTGGCCATATGAACCTAAGCGAGGAATAAAGTTTCAACTTTACACATAACAGTATAGGTAGAGGAATAGAACCTGAAAAAAAATCAAATCCGAATATATCAAGTATTCATTTTAATAACAGAAACATTGTGAAACGTAACAATTCAAAATAACTAACAATATTCACAAACAACAAGCAAATCAATCACGACTTTTCGTAAATTCCTCTTTGAGCTGTTTAACTTCTTCTTCTGTTAACCCTGTCCGCTCCATTATAGATTCGACTATTGTTCTGAAAAAAAAACAAGTCATAAAATAAAAGGAAACGGATTACTTTTTCTTCCCCCTTCTTTTCTCTGGTAACTTCATACCAGGTAATTCATTCTCTATTTCTGATCTCTCTATTTTTGTTTTAACCCTGGCTTTAGCTTTTTTGATCATCGACCCCTGAAAAGTTATTGGGTTAAACTCTCATACTCCAAGAGCTCACTTGTTTTGCATTCATCGGATCCTCTAGTAGATCATTCAATCGATCTATTCCTTCTTGTATCATAAAATCAAGTTCTTTCGTGGACTGTCTAAGATGTTTCTATTTATATGAGAACAAACTTTCGAATTTTTCAAAACTGACCGAACTAACTCTTCGTCAGGTAACATATCTGGGAAACGTAGACTCAGCCATAAATAGGCATCCATGACTTCATACACCTGAGAACGACAAGATCAGGAATGTTACAACAGAAGAAAATACTCTTTCTAAATTGACAAGTTCGTTCAAATTTCTGGGAGGTTGAGGGGGCCAATTTAAAAGATCCATAAGCCAATCATAAGTTAATGGCTGTCCAGTGGAGAATCTTCTAGCCATTTTGACAAACGCTGTAGCAGATAGTTTGTTATCCACATTCAAGGGTGATATACAGAATGTGTAGCGAACCTGAAACTACAATTTGAACTGAATATAAATCGTCACAACCTTCAATGGTAACTGTATGTAATCTATCAGCTCTGCCAATTCCCTCATTTGCGAAACAGTGCAAATAAAGAAATGATCTGATATTGAACACACGGATACAAACAAGTCAAGCAGATGTACAAAAGATGCTTGGGGTAGGTGGAAAGAAAATGTCTCAATTTGTTCAAAAGTGGGAGATATGCCAACGGAACTGATAGGTTGAACCTGCAAAATTGTATCGGGATTGTTTAAAAAAGACTGTATTTTACCGGTTGAGAGAGAATATCTTTTAGAATGCCAATATCTTCTTTTCTCAGCGTGGTAGCGATTCCGTTCTCATAAGTTGTTCCATATCTTCCCGCTCTTCCAGCAATTTGAAGAGCTGAATAATTAGGTAGTAGTTCTCCCTGTAAATCAAGATGACCATGATGGGTAGCTTTTTTGATTTATAATACTTGACGAGTGCAAGTAGCAAAAATAACTCTCTTGATATTCAAATTTAGACCCATTCCTATAGCATCAGTTGATATCTATAACGAGAAATCAGACGTTGTAATGAATTATTGAAAGAAAATACCAAAACGTTACAAGGATCGTTGGGATCATTGAATTTTGCTGCTTGTGCTAGCTTTGTTCCAGGAGGAAGATCACCATAAATAACGGCAGGTTTGATACCCAGTTTTTCCAACTTCTTGGTAAGTGCAAAGATAGTTTTTCGACTGAAACAAACTATGCAATCTCCTGGTTGGATCTGAACACATAAGAAAAGTTAGAGAAATTGAGAGTAAAACTTACATTATCCAAGGTTCCAAGGCCGTAATCTGATATTTGGAGAGGTGTTTTTCTATCATAGTGCCTTACCTAGGTATACAAACACGTCAAGTAATTTCTTCGTTAACAACCTCGACATGCTCTCCGATTGGTTCCAAGAGTTTCTTCACGATATCTATAGCGGCGGGCTCACCACATAAATGAACCTTTGACTACCTATTACAATCATGAAGGTTCAGAAAGAAACCTCTTCTGCAGCAACCCCTAATAGAGCTCTAGACCAAGCCCAGCCTCTCTGTTCATCTCTCAACATCTGGATTTCATCAATTACCGCTACCTATATCACAAAACATGTTAAGATGAAACCGAATGTACGATACCTCTACACGCATTTGAGTGCTTAGCATTTCCACAGTGGAAGATAAATGCGCTGATGGATGATGGTTATCAACCGCAAATCTAGCTCAAAAAATACTGATACAAGGTATTTAGAAACAAACCTCCGTTCTTCTCCTGTCACCATATCACACTTCAAACCCAACTCATTGCTTCTTTGGAACACTTCAGCAGCTAATAATTTCAGAGGACCGCAAAAAACTCCACTCTTAGCTTCACGAAACCTTCATCTCACTGTATGAAGATAACAATAGATCATCAAGATTTTTACCTCTTAAGGGCATGATATGTTTTGCCCGAGTTCGTAGGACCGGCGTGAAAAATAATTTTGCGTTGAATCGTTCTAGCTTCAGGATACCAATTATGTGGTTGTGTTAAATCGGATATGATTCGCAAATCATCCATAGCTTCAAGATGTGGAAAAATCTGAAAAAGTCTCTATTTTTTTCTATTCTTGGAATCGAAACTACTTTTTTAGCATGTGCTAAGAAATATGGGAATAGCCTATCCACCTCATGATCATCCATGAGGATTTCGTGAAAAACGGCAAGAAGAGAGGGATCAACTCCTCCCTAAACAAGAAATAACAGAAATAGAAAAAGGGATTCTTAAATTAAAATACCGTATCTGAAAAGCAATACTGCCTGAACGAGGTGTAAGCGGGCATGAATAGCTTGGCACTTATACCATTTTCTGCAGCTAATTGTCTAACTAGAGGTTTCCTACTGAACTCATCTAGTGTAGAACCCGCTGAACTCTAAAAGAGTTCTCGATTGAACGGAATACATGGAACAATATAGCTTACTATGTTGAACCCTTTCACTATTTCACTAGCTCCAGCTAATAAAACTCTAGATGGCAGGACCATCTTCGCTACTACTAAATCATCTATTTGAGCACCTCCTCTATCAGCAGGAACGCCTACATTTCCATTGTCAGATTCGAGTAAGTGTCAGAACGATACCTCTTATTCGTTTATTATTAATTAATGGAGTTCTGCCATTTCCTCGACGATTTTGTGAATTGAAGCGGTATTGGATACATAAATAACTACTGAAGCTCGTCTGTAGTATCCAATTCAGGTACTTCTTTGACAATAAATCACTCACAGTATGGGCATTAGAACATTTTTTCAAATAGGTAAAGGCAGGAATACATCTGGACATCGAGTGATAAAAGTTAACTGAAATGGAACGAAATAAAAACAGAGAACTGAACTGTTTAATTATTTGATTTATCCCTGTGAACTGAGTATTTTCGTGCTCACGTAAATTTGCTAATGAAATATACAGCTCTTCATACGAGTGAAATATACTTATGACGCAAGTAGGCAGTGAACATGTTTTTGTCTAATCCCCTGGAATTATGGAATTATCGCATCCTTGTAATGTGATTGAATATATTTTTTTACTAAATTATTCTATCCACTGCCATGAAAATCGAAGTGTTCTTTCTTTAGGAACTATGAATTTGATGAGGCTAAGTTGCAGCAGTACTCTGAGAAGAAATGAATGATGATTAACCAAAATATGAATTCAGTGTTAACAGCAAAAATGTGATGAGTTGATTGTGACCATAAGTGTCGTAACTGAATATCTTCAAAGCACGAAACATTTTCTTTTCGATTCTCTCTTCATCTCATAATACAGTTAATCTGTTTCTATTTTCACTACCTGTGTATAAAACCGTTCTTAACGAAAAATTTTCCATTTGAACTTTATTAATCAGGAATCTTTTCATATGCTTCAACTCCAACGCTCAAGTTGGTCATGTTTACAAATGTTTTCTACGGCAGTATTAGTCATATAGCATCTCTATGACTCAAGCGTTCCATATATAAATTCTGTTTACCTATTCACACACTATCTTGCAGGTGCATGGGATTATTGCCTGCCTTTGCCCTTTCTTGAGATTTTATTTTACTCATCTCTAAGCTGAAGGTTCTTTGCCAAAAAAAAAGAATGGCCAGACTACCTCTACTAGATCATCTACTTCGTTAGCAATTTGTTGTATTTCATACCATTATATAAAGTTTTCAAGTTTCTTGATTAAATCATTTTTATTTTATTGTGGTGAACAAGTGCTAACTATGGATCGGAATGTTTATTTCTACAGCAGCTGCATGTAATGATCCTTGAAAAGAGCATCATCACTTATGCATGAGTTAACTTTAATTGCCATATAGTCAACCCAGATTGTCTGAGAAAATATAACTCAGAATGGTCACGCCATTTCTGATTTTTTCGTGTTCCTCTCTTTCTATACAATCATTTTTAATCAATAAAAAAAAGGTGCTCATGAATAATAGTGTTCGCATGATTCATTTGAAAATCTTCACACCGTTTACACTTTCTTATTGTTTCAACACTGAACTACGAAAAATCGATATAGATAAGAAGAAAGGTACAACGTTTTTTTATTATAACTTCTTATATTTTTTGTCATAACGTTTTTGTAATATTAGTAGGTCATAATATTAGAGGCGAGCTTATCTTTCTCAGAAGAATACCTTATCGAACTATGCTTTCTTTCACTCTTTCTATGCTGAAATTTTTGTTTTCCGACCATACCCCAATTTTTGCTCATTAACTTCAGTATACAAAGATTTTTCTTTCACTTGTTCACATCTTCTTGTATTCGATTCAATTGCGGGTAATTACAGCACATACTAACCTTTGAGCTTACTGACTTAAATTTATTTTGAGCTCATTAGCTCTCGTATATCGTTGTCTTACCGCTCTCTGTCTATACCAAAGCAACTACTATTCCAACTTCTTCGCTATCTTAGTGCTCATTTTTTTCATATTTTAAGTTTTGATTTTGACGGGAAGCGATTTTTGAAGTATAAGAAATAATCTTTCGAACAACAAGTGTTTTATTCGAAGTCTTTTTTGGAAACCTCTTTGACATCCATCCGCAGAAACAAACTCATTTACATATTTTGTGCTATGCCATCTACCATTTTAAGTCAGCTGTCAGTTCAAAATATGTTCTTTTCAAGCTTAAAATCGGTTTCTTCGTTCCGTTTCTGTCGAATCGGGGAAATTCCTACTCTCACTATTCTTTTTTACTCCTTTACTTCTTCTATAGTGTTCATAAATACGTTTAATCTTGTCAGTGGTCATCAGTGTGCTATTGAAACTTCGGTGATTAACATTGTGATTCAATTGTCTTTGTTATTCATGATTTCCAATTTTATTCGTCAACCCGCTGTTTGAAATGGTTTTAAGCTCTACAACTGGTTGACCGGAAACAAAGAGCCAACATCAAACAATTCTTGTATCTCTGTCATATTTGATTACTTGCAAGCAGTATTACATTTCCAATGAGTAGTGGTTAATAACAGACGACTAAACATGAGTAATTGAACTTTATATATTTATTTAATCGTTCCTCCTCTTCGTTTTTTGGCTAGGGAAGCAAAATGTGTTCGATAAGAAAACAGAAAGTCATATTTACTTTTCTTTTTTCTAGTTTTAAACGCCCTGACCCGTTAAATTAGCAGTCTTCCTATTATTGAATGCAATAATTAAAAGTATTACCACCTTCTGTTCAGTTTTGTTCAATCCTACTATATGCTAATGGGGCTCTAACATACATCATAAGTTCATTAAGCGTTGGATGTTCTTCTATTTATCAATAAACATTCTGATCAAAGGAGAGATTGTAATCTAATTATGCATTCGTTTCCTCTATTTGAAACAAATGACACGCTACCAAAGCTTCATGAATGGTTGAATTTATATATTAAAAGCTTTATACTGATGAATCATTTTTCTGTATTCGTAATTTGTACAAAAGGCTCTGAAACCAGGCGTCAGTATATTGTTTGTATTTCCAATGGCCACTTATAGACATCACCAACCCTTCTCTATCCCCGCATCTCACTCTCTTTCTCCCTTTGCTTTCCTTAGCTTTCTCTTTTATCTGTCTAAACACTCTTCTTCTATCATATTTCCCACAAGAACAGCAGCAGTAGGAACAACAGTCGGCCAACTTCTCACTGTTAGCTCTTTGTCATAACCAAAGTCATCTCCTCATACTATTATTTTCTTTTTTCTATATGTGTCCACTCACACTCTTCTCGCATTCATTTGTTCTCGTTCTGTAAGAACATAGCTATTGTTAGTGGAATCCTAAGTTTTCAGCTCAGCACAGTTATGATTAGTCTCTAATAAACATTTGTACAAAATTCTTCAGAAATTTATATTGTTCCATATCTCTCACCAGTTCATCAATATGATAACTAGGAGCGCAAGGCTTATGGTCCTAGCTGCATCATCTCCCACTCTCCTTATCAGATTCAACCCACTCCTTCCCGTCATACCCCAGTAGTACTAAATGAAAACTTTTTTATTATTTTTCGCCATGCTTTCCTATGCATAGATAAATGTTTTTCGACATAACCTTACCTGAAGAACAACCGCTATTACGTCTAAACTTATGAAGAATAAAAATGACGTACTTAATCTGTTGCACTGATAAAAAAATTTTGAGGCGTAAAAAAAGTTAAAAACCATTCTTTATGTATAAAAACGTTTATTTTTGCACAGCGGTAACTCTTTTTACCACACGACATTTAATGTCGGATGAACAGCCGGCCACAACCTACCGTTCCGGCTGTCGGTTGCGCAACGGAATCGGATGCATCTTATATCAGAGCGCAGTTCATGGCCTTTTGCAATGGCATTGAAGATCTGAGCAAGTTTCTAAGACATCAGTCATAAAAAACTAGATCGATTACAAGACATTTTTTAGCAATCAATTATTAACTTATACTTGATGTTTACTATACTAAAATAAGCTATATATTTCCCAAGCCAAACTACACGATGAGTATGTCTCTTACACACAGTTGTTGTGTGTTGTAGACTAGTTTTTGTAAAAATTCTCTGTTTCTGTCAATCTCGTTCATTAACAACTCGGTGGAATATTGAAGATGCTCTTTCTCCCCTACATAAGAGTTATTCATTACAAATGAAGGAGTATTGTATGGTCTTCTGAATACCCATGTGGACATGTTTTTGAGGCCAGATGTCCTTCTGCTCCTAACATTGGGAGTAAAGTGAACAGATTCGAAAAGATCTATAATTAATCCTTTCACTATATCATGTATAATTAGAACAGCCGCCTTTACGGAGATGTTTTCCTTATGGATTCTTAAAGTGTCTTCTTCAGCCTACAACTGTTATCTTGTAAATGAAACTTGACTCAAATCGTTCTCTTGTTGTATTTTCTGATCATTCACAAGCTTATAATGATTCTTTAATATTTCTATCAATCATGCTTCTTTTACCATTCCAGTTCATAATCATCTCGTTTTGTCATCACTCCCCTCCTACTGTGAATATCATCTTTTCGTCATTATTATCATTTGATTGACCAAATTTAAACACTTCTCTCTAATGCAATAGAAATTTCACTTTTTTTTCACCCTAGTCATCGACTACTTTTGAACTTATCTAATCTTTAAGAAATCGAGTGTCTTTTTCCCAGTCAGGGAATTCCACTCGTATATAGCCATCAATCTATGTTCAATTACGCAAAATGCCACAAATGGCCATTGTCCCGCTGAAGCTTTAGATTAGCGTTGACTTATTTCTCTTTCTTTCTCTCTTCGAGATTTTAGATTATTAAACATCGCTTCGCTTTACAGATGTGTTCTGACTATCATGATTTGCCTGGAACATCAGTGGGGTGTTTGTCTGAACAAACTTGGTATCATGGAATGACAACGCGAATACATTCCGAGTCTATTCTCAAAGAAGAGGGCGAATTTCTTGTGAGTGTTCAGAACCTTTTTTTTCCTCAATATCATAATGTCTTTAACATGTCACAGACAAGCTGACCCTTACTCATTTTCTCTCACTCTATTTGCTCTTGTTTTGTAGTAGTTCTAGAGAACAGCTGGCTGTTTTAATATGAGAATATCATCATATAAATCTATTGAAGGTTCGAGACTCCATAAGCCAATCTGGAGGATATGTACTGACTGTTCGATGGAAAGGGAAAGCTCTTCATTTTCAAATAAACTCAACTTCAGAGAAAGGAAGAAAAATGTATCATGTAAGATAATTTAGCCAATATCTAAAATTTTACCACGTTCATTTATAGTTCGAGGAAGAATATTTTGCTACTGTGCCACATTTAATAAATTTCTACACTGCTCATAGGCGCCCTATCACTTTAACAAGCGGATGTCTTATAAAAAAACCCGCCGAACGGCAAACAAGTTTCGAGGATAAAAACAAAGAACTCGAAGCTAGCTATATGCATATTTTCAGGCCCGGTAACATATTTTCTATTATTTTTCTCTAATTTTTTTAAGGATCCCTTTTGAACCAGCCTCAGCGTACTCTCAGTCAACAAGCAATTCTCAATCAAGCTTCACTCAGGCAAACCTTACAAAATAACTGCAAAAGTTCTCCTAGGCCTTTTACAACAATATCTGAGAAGTGAGATTGATTATGAACCTTTCACTGACTGAAACAAATTAAGAATATCGGTTCCTCCTTTATCTGCTTCGCTGAGTCGACGACCTCTTCCAGTACCAATAAAATCAACATCTAATGGTGATGCCGAAGACGTAAGTTTTTGTCCTTTGAACGAAAACACGCGTTTTATAGTACTGTGATATCGATTATGATGCTATGGAAGACATATTAGACGCCTCATCTTCCAACGATCATAAAATTATTAATGGAAATATCCAATCCTGGCCAGGTTTTTAATTTAATGATTTCCAAATTTGCATAATTTCCTTGCAGACGCACAGTTATCTCGTCAATTCCAATCTTGTTTTAACCTACGATCTTTCTCCCCTGTGCCGTCATATAAGAGTTCTTCTAGTTGTTTAACGGAGAGGCCACCATTACCTCCAAGACCTATTAATCTTATAGAGGTTTTCATCATACTTTTTCAACTTTTTTCAATTTTTTTGAACAGAAGTGTCGATCAGTGAATATTCTCGATAGTATTCCCAAGGAAACGGGAAAAAAATTTTCATCTGATTTGGATTATGATAATCCCAGAGCCCCCAAAACCAATAATGATTATGATATGGTTGGATTAACATTTTTTCGAAAAATTTTAAAACTGAACTTGTTGTAGTTGCTCCATGATCAGGAAAAAACAGGATCTAGCAACTATTCAGATTATGATGCATTAGCTTCTGAGAAGCAATATAGGCACTCTCGCCAACGCGACTCGGGCGTTTACACGTGAGTGCTGCATATAACAAACTTCAAAAAAAAGAAGGTTATTCTCTACAGATCCCCTTCTCCACCGAATGAAATCACGAATGTTTTCTCTCATGTACATTGTAGTCAATTGAGAATTTTTTTGCTTCATAGCTCACCAAATGAGTTTGCTAAAGCGATAACTCACGATGATGTCAAGCTATTGCAATCTTGTGAAACCGGGGAGGTACACCGAGAAGATTAAGTAATATTTTATCAAAACAAATTCCAGATGCCCGATATCAACAACGGTTTGCGTCAGATTCTTTTACCCATAGGAACAAATCTAAGAGCATCCTTGCTCATAAGGTAGAAGATCACGCGACAATAACCGTTACTTTTCTGTTTAGATCGAGGCAACTCCAAGTTGCAGTTTTGTTGTCAATTATCACCTCCCCTCGTTCTGAAGTCATTAAGATTGTTGAACAGGTTGGCGCTTACAGCTATTACCAATAATTCTTCCGTTTAATGATGAATTATGAGATTTTTCAGTGGATTCAAACTCTAGGTTTTTTACTTCACTCGGAAAAGAACTTTTTTGGTTTTGCAAACGTCATAATAGCTTTAGAAGCAAGACAAGTCAGTGTATCTTTTCACTGTAGTTCTATCTACTAGTTTCAGTTGAAATCTCACCAATGGCTATGGAGCTCTTTAGATTCAGCTACAAAAGCTCTATACGATCAGCACCGACACTGCTATAACTCGCATTTGTCTCAAATAATTGATAATACTCTTCCTGTTTCCATTCCTTTTCTTCAACCTATTTTACAAATTTTTTCTGGATTAGAAGGCTCGGGTTTGGATGGAAATTCATTTTGCTCTGACTTAGGTAAAACGAATTCATTTTTCAATTGAGCTAAATGTTTTTAGATTCTCTGTGGTTCTGGTTAGATAATGCACGATCTTGGTTAGCAAGTTCTCATGATGCTAACAACCTTCTTAAAAAACAAATAAATCATCTTAAGCCATTCAGTGCGACTCCACTTTCTGTCTTGAAACTAGATAGGTTTGGATTTTTGAGTATATTGATAATGTCTGAATCTTTATTTAGGTTATTCCTCGATAATGCCGATATCTTTGAAGAAGATCGTTTTGTCTCCACGGTTGATTATCTGCAAAAAATGGTTCAGGATGTTATATAAATTAATAAAAATTCAAATCTTTCAAATAGTTCGATTGTATACGTTACGTTGATAGCAACACATGAATGCTCCTGGTGAACTCGTTCTGCTTCAACCCTAGCTCGGGTAAAGCTTATAGTAAGTGAAGAATTTTCACTCTTCCTGGTAGAGGACTGTTGATCTCGGAATGTATTGGCACACGTAAGCAAAAAAAGAAAGAAAGTGTTGGCCATTTTTGTTTTGGTGTGCCCTTCAATCGTATATGTTTTTAGTCTATTATATAATACCAATAACGAGTTCATTTGAGCAGAACTAAAGAAATTAATATTTGTGTATCAATGATCTACAGCGAATAGTACCGAATAACATTTCCTTTTTTTTTCTAATGAGATGTTCTTTGTTGATGAAATTTTGTGTTTTTTCATCTCTGAAACGACAGTGTTTGATAAATAGCTGAAAAGCCTCTTTTATGCTACATTGTAGAGTTTTTAAAACCCATTTCAATACAAACTTCGAGATCAATGCAGATTGTGCTGGACCCAAACATAGACGATGCTTGTATTATATCAAAATCATTTTCACAAGATGCTTTTTACAAGTATAACACAGTTTTCAAGTTCTTCCTATGCATTTTTGCTACAGCCGCCTCTTTTTATCTGATTGTAACAAAGGTTAGCTTCGATTTCCTTTTCTTCAAGTTTCTGATTTACCTAATTCAAGGGAACAAGGTGGGTTCTCAATCTTAACGCCCGACTCATTTATGGTTGTCACCTCGCCTTTTCCATTTTCCTACCAATAAGTTTGATTTACGGATATTCTTACGACCTTTACAGGTTGTTCTCATTGACCAGAGCAAACTTTTCAGAACATGTTTCTAGGTTTTTTCTCTTGAAGTCAGAAGATTATTGTGATTATGCTATTACTTCGCATTTTTCAATGCAGGTCCGCTTGCCGGCTATTTTAGCGATGAGTGGAGAATCTCTCACTTTATTTTTTTTAAGTCTAGAAAGATTAATTTCAACATTATATCCTTTAAAGTATGAGCAGTTCAATAGGAACACTATTGGATTGCTCTTCTCGTTCTTCTCAGTGAGCCCTTGTTGCATTACATTGATTACAGCTGAGTTATAGATAATATTCGCAGCGGGGTTTAGCTATGGCTTAATGCTTCCTGGAATTGATGGAGATAAACTTGTCTCGAGTTTCACTATTAGAAGAGAAGAAAACTTTTTCCGTTTCCAAGTATATCACATTTGTTACCAAACATATGATATTTTTAGCTTTATACAGTTTTTCAAATTATAATGCAAGCTTCATCTATTTCAATCTTTTTTTGGTCTTTTTGTCGGAACAACAAGCAGCATAAAATTTTCACAATAACCCGAAAAGCTCAGTTTGGAGCTCGATACCAAGTTTTGTCAAATTAGACTAGTTTTTAAACATTTCTTAATTGAGGTGACAGAGAATCGAAAAGTTGTCAGTTTACTTTTACCTACCTCTATCGCTAATACTTGCGTATTATCCTTTACAGTCGTAACTACAACAGCGTTTAACTTTGTTAGTTCTATGTTTTTTATGAAATTACTCTAGTTATATAGATTTATAGAAATGATGATCAAATAGGGTACATAGTTTTTGGTGAAGTAGTGTTCCAAGTAAGTATTTTTAGAAAGCAAAGCGTCACTGATTACATTGTTTAGGCTCCTCTGTATTCCTTAATATTACCGTTCATCATAACCTATCAGTTGAAACAACAAAGCAGCGTTGTTCTGAACTCCACTGTTCAGCAAGAGGACTATTTCAAAACTCTTCAGTCCTATTTTGATTCGAGTGTGGTAGAACGACCTAGGATTTCACATTAACTAAATTGACACACTCCACTATTGTGAGAAAAAGTTTTTTTCTCAAAATTTCCGTTGTATTTATTTTATTCAGATCAGTTGGTCTTCAAATAATATTAACATTAAACTTTATAAAAGTTTATATCGATAAGTTCAAATAATTTAATATGCTATAAATATCAAATTTTTCTCCTCTCTATAAAGAAAAAAAGAAGTGAAACAAACAAGTGCCTTCAAATCTGAAATTGAAAACAAGCCCTTTTACTTTTGCGAAGCAAAATGTGGATTCAAAGTAAAAATGGAATGTTATCAACGAAAAAGGTGTTCGCTGAATAAGTTAAGCAGTTCGAATTCCGAAAGAAGTTGCAGCATGTCTACTTGCCACATGTGTGGAGCGATTAACACCTTTCCTGCTCCCATAAGCGATTTCGAATGCGCATCCCGCTACTATTAAAACTCCGAGAATCACAAAATATATAGGATTAATGGCGGATATGAATTCTAAAAAAAGCCTTCTTAGAATAACAATCAATATTTCGAATATCTTTATCATTGAATGCTCTAGTATTTTAGTGAAAGTTTGCTTTCTCAATTAATCACTAATTAGAATGGTTTTGAATGACTCGAAAAGGTACTCCGTTTGCTTTGCTTTGGAAAAATGTAGTTTGAGAGGATACTATTACAGAAGAAAAAATGAGCAATCAATATTGATGATGACTAAGAAACTGACCTCCCAAGAGATTAGATGTTTCTTCAGAAAGGTTACTAAGAGCTGCGCTTCTCTATAAGTATAAACTCCATTCAGTGAAGAACTCTGGTATACTTACCACAGCTCGGTTCTGAGCTGCAACTGCACCAACCAAAAGAAGCACCCGTAAGATTCCTAACATTCGCTGAAATAGGATTGAATTGAAAACTAGTAAGGCAATAATGAAGTATTTTCAATTGAAGAATATGGTGAGTTTAATTGGAAAATAATGTTAATTGAAGTTAAAGCAAGTTTGCGGGAATCTGAGGTTGGTGTTGATAAAGGGGAATGCAGAAAATGTCTCTTCTTTGCCTTTTAGAAAAATAATTGGACAAAGATTTGACATGTTTGAAACATCAAACAAAGTGGGAATTAGCAGGTGTCAGCGAGGCTGCTACTGGCTGGAAGTCGTCGAGCAGGTTGAGGACAAACAAAGTGCTTTAGGGAGGCTCTGAATGGGGAAAGTAGAGAGTGGACGACAACCAATGAAACGAGAGAAGAGGTCAAAACGCTAATAGAAAGAAGAACAAGATGCTCAAGAGAGTGTAAGAAGCAGAATGAGACAGAGCTGTGTGAAGTTGAAACCGATGAGGGCTCCTTCAAGAGCTTCGAGAGCTATGTTAAACGAAATGAAGATGGTCAAAAAGGCAATTTGTTCTAATTATAACTTCGATCTCAGAAAAAAGTGATACCAATCTCCATTCAACTGATATAACTGCCTAATTCGAGACAAACAGTTCAAACAAGTGCTGAAGTTCGAGAATCGTTTGCGGCTTTCTTGTTTTCTTTTTTCTTGTCAAATTCTGGTCGAACGAGAATGGTACGAGAAGCAACGATTACAAAAGCGAACGACGCGCAAAAAGTGATACATGCTCTGTTTACCCAAAGACCTCATCTTCTCTATTCCACTACTTAAAATATGGAAAAAGGGGTGAAATTATTTGTAGGCATAAGTGAGATGTTTCAATTCAACTAAGGTAAGCATACAAGCATACTTGTAACTGGCACTTATAGCGTTTGTTTTTATAGCCTCATTGAGTCTTATTTCCAATAAAGCTCCATCTAATTTAATCTCTTCTAGGTGTATTCAGACTAATTTGCTACGATCATATGGAAGAACATCATTGCCGGAAAAAGCAATTGACCGTGAAAACAAGAGTTAGTTGCCATTAGTGCATGTCCAGGATAAATTTAGTCATTTGTATTAATATCCGAGCTATAAACCTTATAACAAAAAAACAAAATAGATAAGAAAGTTCTTGCTCATACTTGTATCATATTGAAACGGTTTGACGATCTCATTTACTTTTCTTTCAATGAAAATAGTATGCTGTCCATTCTTGTTTTTTTATTTGCATTTGATAAATTGTGCATTTTTTGGTTTTACGCTCGCATTTACCGCTTTTTTGTTGGTATGTTGTATAATTTCTCACTTGTTTCTTTTCTTTTACTCGTATTCTCTCACTCCCTTTTCTCTCCATCTCTCTCATTTTTTTCTGACCTCTCTTACGCGCGAATAATATTTTTTATTTCTCTTCATTATCTCTTCATCTGCATATAATTCTTTGTATGCTTCACATCCTTACTCTGCTATCCTGTCCCCAACAGTTATTTCCTAATTCGGGCTTCATTGCTCAGTACGCTGATTGATAAAGTATATAGAGAATGTAGAAACGGCCAGCTTTCGACAATGGTTTTCAATTTATTATAATAAGTTGATTCCAATTGATTCCTAATCAACTTCCATCTTTCAGCCTTTTCGCACTGAAACTTGGGTATTAGTCAGTGAAATAATCCATACACATATATAAATCTTCATTTATTTTATTTCCAAGTTTCTCACTTAAAAAGGAAGAACTATGTTAAAACAATGATAGTTTTTCATATTTCTTCCCGCCTTATTTCTTCATAGTCGTTTTGCTTGTTCTGTCGTGATACCTCTACCCATTTAAAATCACATCTCGAGTTCAACAGACATTTAATATGGAGGAATAAACTGAACACAAACAAAAATGTGAATGTATCGATAGTTATCAGCTCTACATGCTCTATATTTACGTGAAGCGTAATCCGTGCAATTTCACGTGAAAGTTTATCAGGCGTCGTTATTTAAAAATTTTAACCGTGAGTAGCGGTTGCTTCCACAAGAAATACATGTAATAATTTAGAAGCAATAGCCTTCGTGAGCCATACTGTTCCTTGAAATCTGTTAAACTTAAATAGCGTTTTTTGGAATAAGGAATGATACTGGTGAACAATTAGCATGGCTGTTATTCATCAATAATGTGCAAGCGAAGAAGTACCATTTCTCGTCTTTCGAAATTTTATTCAATAATTCTCGTGAGCTTTTGATTTGAAAAAAACGAGTTTCGTCGTTTAAAGCAATCTAAACACCATGTGGTTTCCCATTTACTTATTAAGCGATGCTCAAACAATCAGTTTTTTTCAAAACATAAATCGATTAACTACCCTTTTTCAACTTTCTACGAGCTTTTATTTGTATATTTTTTACGTGGAATTCTTCCAAGATTCTTCCATATTGTAGAAAGTGCAAAATAATTAAGTTAATTTTCAGATACTCATGCTATGAAGGAGCCGGATTCGGGTTCAGTGAGCGAAAATGATGACTTTCCAATACTGGACAATGTCTCACGACTCACGAGAACAGTGTATGATAATCGTTTCGTTGTTTGGTTAATTTAAATTATTATTTTTAGAAGTAGTGTTAATCCTGTACACTGGAACGAAGCGGATTTATTAGAAGTCAGTTAATTTATTCGTTAGTAAGTTTAGTTTTTTTTTTTAGACTGATCTCATGGGTGACTCTCCTTTTCATTATGGCATTGGAATACGTCCACAAATCAGTAGGTCCTCTGTGATAAAACTTATCTTGTTTAATATTAAAGAGAGAGATGCTGAGAGCTATTCTGGAGAGAGCCGTAGCAGTAGTTCAACGAGTGCTGGAAGTGGAGTCATAGCTGAAGAAGATTTAATTGATTGGGCTGTTTATCAAAAGTTATTGGGACAATCTGAAAGACAATGGTACGTGCTACATTATTATATGTTCTAAGCTCCATGAATAATCAGTAATGCAACAAGTCGTTGGAGTACTTTAATTTTACCGAATAGCTTACTGATCTCTACGATTGAAAAACTCACAGAAATGATTGAGAAAGGTTAGCCTGTTTGACTCATGTAGAGTTAATCTTTCTCGTTTCAGGCTTGGATGTGTCCAATGACAATGGGTTGCAGCAGATGCAAGGTTTGCTGCAACAAGTTATTTGCCCTGTCTTGCGTAGTATATTCAATGATGACCCTGGAATGAGTCTTGATCAGTTTGTAAGGGTAAATTAAGTTTATCGTAGCCTTCTAATATTCTCATAGGAGAAAGTAATGACTTGCGCATTTCGCTACATTACGATGTTTGTGACGAAAATGAAATATTATTCTGCCCCTGATGAGATACTACCAGAGTTTTTTAAAATAATGGCGTTCATGTTCAACATCAACTCAAGGTTTGTTTCATCATTGCAGTTTATTGCTTACTCTGTTTCAGATTCTATCAACGAATATCAACTCATACTATCAATGCTATTATACGCATCGTACCTTCTGATCTCGATCTTTCGAAAGTCAATCTCTTCATTACTGACGCTGAGACTCATGTAAGTTCATGTTTTAATTAATGATGATTCGAATATTTTCTATAGCATTGGTTTCAAGCTTTACTTTTATGGTTTTGTCAAAGCAGTGGTTTTGAAGCCTTCTGTAAATTTCTACAAACTGCTATCACTCCAGACTCCACTATTCCCACATTAGCTATGTATTTCTCGTGAGTTGTTCTGTCTTTGATTTTTGAATTATTTTAATTCATAGATGGCTAGCGAACATCATTCCTATCCTTCATCCATCTATTATTAAAAAACATATTGAGCCTTTTGTGGTTTGTTAGTTCAACAGTTGTCTAGCTCAATTCAAGATTTCAAGATAAGTTCCTATCGACGTTTGATGGCCGTTGATGAAAAAGATTACGAATGCGAGAAAGTCAAAGGAGATGTTCGGGAAGCCCCTCTGATGCAAGTGCTCTTGGTATTTGTTCCATAACTGTTTTTCCTAACCATGTTTCATAGTTCTGCAAAATCAGCGTATATCATTTTCTTAATATATTCGGACGTAGCATGCTGATAGAACTAGATCTTTTGAAATTGCGTTTCCTTAAATGGTAGTGTTTAATCCTTTTTAAAAGAATAATATTCAACTGAAGTGTGATTGCTGAATCTCCATTCAACACACGAATGAGTGCTTTGGAGGAACTTTATCGCTTTCTCAGGATTGGGTCCAACGATCTATTAGGATGTACCGTAGAAGCACAAGTTTTTTTAATTTACGTTAGTAGAATTCAAGGATAAATTTAAGGCTAAAATAGAAGAAATTGGTTTGATAGAATCTATGTATAAAGATAATCTTCATCACGTGGCGTACATTGATAGGTAGACTTACAATTTGACTTTGTCTTTAGCAACAACATATGATTTTTTAGGGTAGAAAAAGTTATGGCTGATTTGTTCGATAGGCATTTACTCAAAGAAAATGTATTGAATATCATCTGGAACTCTCAGAAGGTGTTTATTATTTCTCGAAATAGATAATATTGCTCTTTAGGGGAAGCACGAAGTCATTCAACGTAACGTTCAAATTTTAACGGCTAGATTAGCTTCTCACTTCGACTCTTCCATTGCAGAAGGGTTTTTTTCCATGCTTCAAGTATTTTTTTACATTTTTCCTCATTATGTGAACGAATCACTCAGATCTCATGGATAACAGGGGAAACTAAAGATAGGCTGAACATAATAGAACTATTGCGAAGAGTCGGATTTGATCAATCAAATAGTTGTATGGTTTCTCGAGTGGCCAATTTTTTGTGGAAGCAAACTAGGTCAGAGGAAGCCATTGAAAATTTAGAGTTTCAAGCTAGAGTAGGCAGAATTCTAACTGTATCCAATATAATAACTTCACAGATGTTGGATGTACTTTATGACGTTTTGGAAGAAGTTTTCGTTGATGGCTTTGGAAAATCAACCCTTATACCGGAATATATTTTGCGTTGTGCCAACGATATTTGTTGTCCGAAAACACCTGAAGGTATCAAGATTGCGTTTTTTTTTGACTATTTGGACTCGGGTTCAGCTATACTCGCTAGTTCTGTTGCTCTCTCAAAAAGAATAATATCATGTTATACCAATGAAATGAAAACAATCAAGAATAATCCTATCGCCGTAAAGTTAGTTTTTTATATTTATAAATTTCTAAAAATTCCGCCTGTTTTTCAGTCAGAGGTTAGATTTATTTCGACGGATTGAAGACAATATTCGGTTCAAGTTTGGTAAATCATACGCAGATGCTATGGCTTGCAATATTATAACGGCTGTTAATAATCTACCTCAAGTAGTTGATGTGCGTTTCTTTATATAGGAAAAATGAGCTCAGTGAGTTAGGAATCATCTGTTTTTCAGTCGTCAAATTCGGTTCTCTCTTTGGGAAGCAAGTCTGAGGATTGGGACAGTGAATATTCAATATCACGCGCATTGGTCGTTCAATTTGAGTTTTTGAAGTTCTACTACTCGGATCTGATAGCTTCTTTCGAACACTTGTTGGTTCCTGTAGCTGATCCAGAATGGGTGAGAGTTAAAGATTTGTTTTATACTTATGTATAGCAGGTTATTCGCTTGTGGAAAGCAGTTGTGAATTCAACCTTTCCTGGTGTACAAGACATTGGGTTCCGTTTGTTCACTGACTTGGTATGTACATCTACTAAATGTCTTTTTCCACATGCCGAGCGCCTGAAAATATTTTTCGAAAGTGAGTTTATTCTTCTCTGTTCTATAGTAAGAAATTTAATGAGTTCAGAAAATGTTCTTACTCTTGATCCTAAAATGCTTTCCGTTGCCGGGTTTCATTGCTTTGAAGCTTTTTTGAAAAAAACGAACATCGCTCTGGCGAATATGGTTTTTCGAGATGATCATGAGGAAATGGAAAGAAATTGCTTCTTGACAAGAACAAGCATAATGGTTCGGTCTGCATTGTTCGCACTTTCATGTCTCAATATTTCAGGGTGAGGAGTATATATGGCAATTGATTACTTGCGGGAACGAAAATGTTCATCCTCTCGCTTCCAACTTATTTGTATGTCTGTTCTCATCCCCTGCTCCAGAACAACGAGTACCTGAGTATGGCGAAGCTGTCATACACAAATGGTTCAGCCTAAATGTATTCTCATCTCATATTATTCTTCCAGTATGGATGTTCTCAATAAAAGATGGGAAAAAGAAGCAGAAACTCTGGCTGAAAAGGCTGAGAGGGGAGTGAAAGTTAGAAGAATTTTACAAGTAGTTTTTTGAAGTTTTTCTCCACTCTACGAAAAATTTCAGACAATAACGGAATTAGTTGATACGAATGAGAAAGATCACAGATTACCGAAACGTACTAGGCCTGTGTTGAGAAGATCAACTATGGGGAAAGGTTTTTTTTTGAAAGTTCAGTTCAGAGGTTTGGTGCGCATTTGATGATTTTACCAAATTTCTTACCTTTAAGTTGATGATATGCAGTTGCTCTTCCCTAAATCTCCTATACCATTACATGTTGCTTCACCAAAAACTTTTAATGTTCATGATAATATGCTTCTAGTGGAGTTGGTTGAAAAAGTAATTTTTTATTTTTTATGTGAAACGGTTGAATTTTTATAGATATGTCAATCTATTTGTGACCAAGGTGGAGTTATTAGCCCTTATTCACTATCAATTGTGTCTAAATTAGGTGGTGGTATGAATCAACGTTTTAGGTATTGTATAAAGTATAAAAAATTGTAGATTTTGAACCGTTCAGAGTAAGTGAGTGGGGTCAGACTCTCAGAGAGTTGGGATTTGATTCAAGAACAACAATCTTTGCTAAACCAGAAAAGAATAGGTTAGGATACGATGGCACGGATGATGCTGGGTTCGATTCTAACGACAAAATTAATAACAGAATGATTATTAGGTTTTTAATGAAGTCTGGGCGAAGAGAATGTGAATTAGAAGAATCTCTTCTTTTCTCCGTTTTACTCGCTTCACATAGCGATTACTTAGTTCGGCTAGTCGAACTGGCACAAGTTCGGGAAGTTACTGAGCAAGCTTTCGCATTATTAAGTAATGTACCTAGTTTGAAACAAGTATGCATCTCTTGTTAATCTATAATAAGTTTGTTCATTTCAGGCTCCATCGATCGACGAATATGGTTCACTAGAGAATACGGTAGAGCCTTTTCGACGTTACCTCGAAGACATAGCGAGAGAGTCGAGCCCGGCGAAACAAGTATATTCGTTGATGGTTTTATGTGAATATGTTGCTCCTTGGAATTTATCCTCCACTAACTGTTACAACAATCAGGTTTGTATCGTCTATGTTCTTTGTCAAACATATGTTCTTTCAGACTTTATTTTTTTTCGCTGGTGGCATCAAAGTTTTCCGAAACATAATGGTAAAAAATGCTTTTGTTGATGAAACTTCCCAGCTGCGAGGACTAGGCTTTTATTACGCTCTGAAAGTTCTAGTGTTTTCTCTACAGTTCGCTTTAAACGTTTTATCGTATAAGGTTGTAGAGATTGTGATATTCATTAAGATTCAATCAGTTTTCTAGTCTGAAAAAAGAGTGTACCGTTTTATGACTGATCATCTCCCACGAGTAACAGAATGCTATATGAAAGAAGTAAGTAAATGGCGAACATGATGTTATAGTAGCATATTTTTTATAGGCGGTATATCGGATGACTAATGCTATCTATGATAAGCATAACTTTTCTTTGGTTAACAAAGTCATTACCGATTGCAAAGCTACCGTGCGAGATATTTGCGATCTTCTTGAGGTATTAGCTCCTAGCTCCATACTCGCCGGATTTCTCTGCTTTAAGTCGTCTTTATCACTATTGAAAGAACATGCAGCTAATGGAATATATCAAGAAACAAATCTTGAAGATCTTGAGGTAAGTTTTTTGTCAGAGCCTCTTAAAATCTTTTTAGTGTCCTCACGAGTACGATAATGGCGACTTGATCATCGTCGCCGCTACTCAAGTTATTGGATATTATTGTGTTCTCAATTGGGATATCTGCCCGAATGTTCTGATCTGCACTGATTTTTATGAGTACCTGAATTCTGTTATGTTCGGCGATAAGAGGTATGCAAGTTTTTCTGCCTTTTCGGTTATTTTGAGTAGTTATGTCAATCGAATGGTTTCTTGTTGGTCAGTAGACATCATTTCGCAAATAATCATTCATGTGGGTTTCGAAGTCAATGGACATCAAGTTTATTTACATGTGGTTGAACAACTATTCAATATTATCGATATGGCAAATACTAAATGTTTTTGGGAACTATTATACAAGTAAGTGAAACTATTGCACTGTGTTAATGTTACAATTGTTGATCAGGATAATAGACCATTCTGATAAACGTACACGTCTACCAAACCTTTACTCACGTGTTCTACATTGCTTAACATGGCTGGAGGAAGCACAGGTTTTAGTTCAATTTCAAACTCTGTGTAGATAACTTTGTTTTCAATAGAAAACTTCCCAGGAACAACAGTGCTCTTTTCCGGATGATATAACATTGACCGGGCGTTTGAGGGTGCTGTCACTCTTGTTGGAGCAACTAACGATTGATGAAAAAGCTGACATAGGCGGACCAGATGGAACTTTTCGGTTTATTGAGTTGCTGGTTAATCATTTTCTTCTCCCCAGTAGTAGGTATGTCCAATCTTTTCTTCCACTCTATTGCCAACGTGGAGTTACAGGGCATATGTACAACAGATCGATTTTCCTCGATCTCAAACCGCTCTTGAAATTCATACGGCTTCCTCTTCAAGCATGTTCGATCTCCATGCTTTTAATATAATACCGAGGTTTTCCTGTTGTCACAAAAAACTGCGTTTTAAACATTCCAACATAGATCGAGTAGTGCCTGTCCAATCCCTCATAGATGTGTTGCTGTTTGTGGTTCAGAAGAATCTCAGCGAGCGGGTTTCGCCGCCCTCATTGCTATTGCTGTTGGATCAGAGATTAATATTCGTTTGATAAGAAATCTTTTTATGGAGATGTTCTACAGAGGTTGATTTTTTTAAAAATGTATTTTACCACATTATTATAGACAGGAGCCTTGAAAGAATCATTTGGGACTATCAGCCAGACTTTTCATTGAGAGTTGCTGGTAACTATGTTGGGTTGAAAAACGGAGGAGCAACTTGTTACATGAACTCGATCCTACAACAGGTGTGGCCATGGAAGTGAATTATTTTCATGATTGTTTTTTCGATTTTCATGCTCCCAGCTCTTCGTAACGCTATTTTGAATATTGAACCCTTTTCAAACGATCCTGATCATAAGAAAGCTGATGAAATAACATCTTCGTATCCAGTCCGAGTAAGCTCTGAGCTTTGATACGAATTAGTAAAGACCAATACTTCAGGCTCTGGAAGCGTTGCAGTCAGTGTTTGCTCATCTAGTTGGATACGAACTGGACTCGTATACCCCAGCTGAATTCTGGAGTACTTTCAGGTTAGAAAACTCTTATTTTCTCACCGGATGATTGCGTTTCAGAATGAGTAAAGAAATGGTTCATCTCAATGAGCAGCAAGACGCGTTAGAGTTTTACAACTCAGTCGTTGAGTTCGTTGATGAAGGAATGAGCGTAATAGTATATTTTCATATTTGTTTGAGAATAATCTTACAGATGTTGGGTGGTGAAAAAATATGTGAAAACACATTTGGTGGCCTGTTCGCGGATGAAAAAATTTGTAAAGATTGCCCTCACAGGTATTTGCGCAGCCTTTTTGATATACTATAACTGTTCAGATACTCGAGGGAAGAGCCATTCACCTCCATATCTATCGATGTGCAATCGCACAATAACCTTCTCGAGTCATTAAAAGAATATGTATTGGGCGATGTTTTGGAGAACGATAACGCCTATTTCTGTGAGAAATGTCAAAAAAAAGTAGGATAAAGTTTATGTACATACTGTTAAAGTTCTCAGGTTCGAGCAATCAAGAGACTAACTATCCAAAAACTGCCTCCAATATTAGTGGTGCAGCTTAAAAGGTTCAAGTTTGATTGGGATAAAGAAGTACCTGTCAAGTTCAATGATTATGTTGAATTCCCTTTCGATTTGGATATGAAACCTTATACAGCCGAGGCCGCTGCAAAAGTTGATGCTCTAGGTGATACTGAGGAAGACATAGTTTTAGAAGAAGGTAGGCAGTAATAGCTTTACATTCTTAACGATTGTTTTGTAGAGCCATCTGATTGCATGTACTCGTTACGAGGAGTTGTCGTTCATTCAGGATCTGCTACTGGTGGTCATTACTATTCTTTCATAAAATCTTCCGACGATGGAAAGTGGTATAAATTCGATGATACTGAAGTTAATCATTACGAATGTGATATCAAAGATGTTCGCTCTAAATGGTATTTTGGTAGACATTCGTGTTTTTCATTCACCATTTCTCACTTAGGTTTGGTGGTAATATTAAATATGCTGATGACGGAAGCGACGATATGTCTTCGAAGAAACGAGGGAGATGTTGGTGGAATGCCTATCTCCTGTTCTATGAAAAAGTATTCATAATTGTTAATTTCATTCTATTTTAAATTCACGATTTCTAGGTGGGAACCGCTGACCAAGAGTGTTCTGCTTCCTCTACTTCTTGTAGAACTCCTACTTCGGGTCGTACTAGTGCTGATTGCTCAGGACAAGCTTCCGTTTCTATTGCTAATCCCTTAACTGTCGATGCATCTGTATCTTCAATTTCTTCCAGGCGGAGCAGCACAGGCTCTCCTATCACCAGGCTTCACAAACATTTTTCCACAATGTCGTTGAGTAAGTTGTATGAAAATATAAATAAGTTATGTTTATTGTGCAGGCAGTAAAATGAGGCAAATGCCTCCTAGACTAGAAGTGATGGTTCGACAGCAGAACACGAAGATAATGCACGAACGTAATCAATACAATGTCAACTATTTCCGTTTTCTCAAAGAAATAACACTGCGATCTGTAACATATCAAACTGATGTTAGGAAGCTTAAATTCTTTAAAATAATGTAGTATTATATTCAGACGTATAACCACATTCTCTTCGTTCACATCAGCGAACTATTTGCGAATTTTCTGGTTTTTACTTGCCTACATGCTTCTGCTGAACTTAGGAACGACTATGTCAGCGAACATAGAGAAAAGGCTTGGTATACTTTTATTTTCAGAATGATCGTAACACAATACTATGGAATCATGTGTTAGACCGGCTGGTAGTTGTAAAAACATGTCGCTTATGGCTGATGTCACATATACTCATAAGCGAAGAAATTTTACGTGTATTTTTGATTGAAGCTAAAGATCCAGAGGTTGTATTCATAAGTATTTTTTTCTCACCGTCTTATAGGTTCGTCAACTCTATGCCCGAATAATCAGTAAAATCTCCCTGGCGTCAATTGATCATAAAGATACAATAGCAGATGCAAAAACTTGTGAGTTTGAAGAAAAGCCTGCTTGTACACCCAGCTGAGTTGCAGATAACGCTTTACCCTTCCAAAGGGCTCTTGCAATGTATGGAAAAGAGAACTTGAGAGATTCCACTTGTGTCGTTGAGATGTTAATAGAGGTTTCTCTTTCAACAGTTTTATCTCTCAGCTCAACTTGTACAGGTTGTATACAATATGATAAGTAATGATAAAGAGAAAAGAGGAATGGAAATTTACTCAGTTCTCCTTATTTTCATCATAGAGCCGGCACCGAAACCACAACTAGTAACAATTTATCTTTATCGTACATTTGACTGTTTATTTAGTACCTTTCACTTGTTCGTCGCGGCATTTTGTTTTTACTATTGCGGATCTATGAAACCCCTGTAATGCAATGTTTCGCAGCTATTCACAATGGGATACAGAACTATCTACGCTTGCTGTTAGGTCTATTGAGAACTATTGACTTACGAACTTATTTATCTGTTCGATTACCAGGGGTATGTTTTTTTTATGTTTCGTTTTGATTTGAAACTCTTGTTCAGGCTCCCGCCCTAACTACTCCTTGCCCGTATATGTTAGCAGAACTTAAAGAGCGTATTCCTATCAATGATATTGTATGTCCAAGTGACTTGCAAGATGCGATATATGCTGTTCCTAGTTATAATTTGTAAGTCTGGGTGAATACGGCGTTAAACTTTCCGATTTTGAGAATGACTCATTTAATGAATGTATTTGCATCTGGTGACTTGCGTGTACAAGGTTTTATGAGAGAGACATTCCTTTACTTCTGCTGGAACAATGAGATTATAACTGCAAGAGCTTACGAAGTTCTAATGCGAGCTTTAATGGTTGATCCTCGGTATTTAATTGACTTATAAGGCTATTTCAGCAAGATGAAAGAAATCCCGAAGTTTTAACTGAACTTCTTGTGACCCTTTTCTGCGATCTTATACAGATGAACGACGAGCTCTCTCGCTGTGGTGTTTGGCTGCAGTATCTGTTATTCAGTCAGTTCCTACCTTCTCTCGTTACAGGTTTTTTTTCACATATATCAGGCTGTGAGATTTCGGTGTACCACCCACGATCAGGCGAAAGTGGACTTCTTTCTATAGTCCATGAGCCCAATAAGCAAAAACAGGAAAACCTTATCCGTATTAGCACTGTGCTCTTAGAGCGTTTTGAAAGTGAAATACCATATGTGAGTTTAGTTGAGTGACAGTTTCATTAACTATATAAACTGACTACTTCAGCTTTCTCGTGCTCCGGCATTACTTCATTTTGCTAACGAGATGTTTTCAATTATAATTTCTCGATATACCTTTCATGAACAAGGAGAAGTAAAGCAATCTGCTAACAGTACTCAGTTTCTTCTCAAACGCATCGTAAAATTCTTTTCTAGGGATGGTTCCGAATAAAAACGATCTTGTTGCCCGTTTGGCTAACGTCTGTAAGTATCTCCGAACAATGGTGGACGCGGTAAAGAAACTTTTCTGACCGAATCTATCTTTTGTTATAGGAATCTTGTAATGAAGAAAATGAGGATAATCAATTAGAATCTTCTATCATCAATTCTCCGAAAGCTTCAATCACCACTCCTCAATCTGGAGAGAAAAGACCATTTCCTGATGACGACTCTCCAACAACTCGTAGAGATAGTAAAAAATTCAACGACGGATCAAAAATCGTTTCCAACGACTTTCCAATAAGTGAGTTACATGAAGTTATTACGATTTGTTATATCTTTCATTGCAGCTGCTGAGGTGGATGATCCTGAGCTTCTTATGGCTACAAGTAGGAGTGCAATTGAAGATAAGAAACCCATGGCTCCTCCCCCGGCATATGAAGAAAACGTTTTTGATTCCTCCAAGTGAATTTTCTCTTTTTTTTGCATCTGATCCTCCAAGTATCTAAACTCTACTCAGGCTTCTCATCGGTGTAGTGTCCATTTCCTTCCGGTTTTTTCTCGCGATTCGATGTTATTTTTCTCAGATTATGGGTATTTTTTGTTTTGTCATTTGTACAGATGGTCGTTTTGGGGTGAATTCAATGATCTATTCAAACCCTAGTTCGTGATCTATGTTGCGTTCGTTTGCGAGGTCGTCCTGTACCTTTAATTGTTAGAATTTTTTCCTTAATAATTTTTTTGCCTTTTCAAAATCGAAAGTTAAAGGTCCAGGATGTCGGCTTTATATTAAAAAGCAGGTATTACTTTTTTTGTGGATCAGCCGCAGCCAATTTTTTTTTAATTTGTAAATATTTTAGTCTGTTGTTGAATCAAAAGTTTGAACTTGAAATTGTTAGATCTATTTTTTATCGAGTATTAATGTATTACAGAAGAGTTGATTTATTATATATTTGTTGAAAATTGTGAATGATTAAACATCTTAGATGTGTTTTGCGTCCTAGTTCGCTTGTGTCATCCGAACTTCAAATGAATTAGCTTAAGATTATTAAATGAGAATTCAAATTCAAATGCTTCTCTGACCTCGCGAAGAGTGGAAATGAAATTTGGAACCTGTACAACATTTTACCGTGGTTAACGTCGTAAAACTATAAAAATAAAACATGTCTCAAATGATTGCTAAATCATTTAAGATAAAAGATGGAGCAGCTGAATCTTTTTCTCCTTCTTAGAGTTATATTTTGTTCAAATGATCAGTGATGAAATCTTGTGTTTTTTCTGATCAATTTATATTACAATCATAATGAACTGTCTGAACCACAATGAATATGATGAGTTAGAAACTATTTTTTAGCCATTCATACTGAAAGACGGCAAACAGTAATAATCGTAGTTTTTTTCAGTATAGTTAGAGAACGGTACTTGAACTCTTTGCCAACATAATAGATTATTGTCGCTTAATCATTAATTTATTCGTTTCGATTTCTTAGCTCAGAAGTTCTCAGAATTCTCAGTTGTTTGAATCTTTTATTAGTTACATATTGAGTATGTTTTTAAATTACTCTCGAGTTTTTGTAAAATTATGGGATCAAAAATAACAAATTTGAAAAAATCAACACTTGTGCATGGTTGGTGTTAAGATATTGTGTACAAATGCTGAGTATGGGCTATGTACAAGCTGCTATGCTAATCGGACAGAACTTTTCAGTGTATAATGAGCACATTGTAAATGAATTGTAGTATGCAGTTTTATAGAGTGTATGTTGCTTCAACTATTGTTGAAAACAGTTTGTGGCAATTGGTCTCACAACGACGCGTTCTTAATAAATTTCTGTTTGGCGCGTTTTTATATGAAGTTTGATTTTTCTGTTTTTTCTTCCATCAATAATATTTTATTAAATTCATGAAGATATTCTCGTTTAATAAACATATATTTATTTATATAGTCACATTTATATTAGGCATGGATTCGAAAACTTATACCGTGCGATCAATCAATAATCAGACGCCTTACTTGGTTGAACCAGTAAGTTACAATAGGCAATATCACGCACAGGTTTTGATTCCATATATTAATATGAGTGAAAGGGGATGAATTTTCAGCCCGTGAGGAGAGCTGTTGTTCTTTCTAATAATCAGCAAACACCTCGAATGAATAGAATACAACCCCCTCCTCATAGCGCTCCCCAATGTTACAGAAGGTTAGTTATTCAAAAAGCACACACTAAGCACAAAAACTCAACCTGAAGTATCTCAGATTCTTCTCTTCTATATTTAAAGCTACACACCTTATTGATATTTTAAAGTGTTTTGATTAAGCTTGCCTCCTGGCGGAGTTCTCAAATATGAGTACGATTTCGCTGATGCAAAGCGGAACATAGACAAGTCTAAAGGGCTAAGGCATTTCTCTACAAAAGTGTGTGAGAAAGTGAAGGAGAAAGGTAGAACTAACTACAATGAGGTGAGTAGGTTTTATTGAACTGGAAGTAAACTTTTCATAGGTAGCGGATGAGTTGGTTGCTGAGTATTTCGATTCACAATCCAGTGTACAGTTTAATGATGTTAGAATGAGATATAAGAACATTTTTTTCATCTGTATTGTCTTCAGGAAAAACACCAGTATGATATGAAAAATATAAGACGTAGAGTCTATGATGCACTCAATGTTTTACTTGCCATGAACATTATACAGAAAAACAAAAAAGTTTGCTGCAGCTTTAGAAACATTTTAAACTTATGAGTTAAGGATATTCATTGGGTTGGTTTGCCCACATCCACTGTTCAAGAATACAAACGATTAGAAGAGGAAAAGGTTTGTGGAAACATCACCTTTTCAAATTGTTTTTCTCTTCAGGTTAGACGCCAAGAGCGCATCCGAGAAAAAACCAATAATCTCCACGAAATGATCGTACAACTTGTAGCATATAAAACACTAGTAGAACGAAATAGGGAACGTGAGAGGTCTGCTCAACTTAACAATTCCTGAATTTTTGAGTTTTTAAGAACAGAGGGCAGACCAGTAGATAATTCTGTTCTCTATCTACCCTATGTAATTGTCAATACAGAAAAACGGTTTGTTCCCTCCGATATAGTTAAGCTAGTTTTTTTTTTGCAGAGCCCTAGTAGAATGTTCTGTGGCTCATGATAAGTCTGAGTTTCTTTTCAATTTTGACCATCCTTTTGAGATTCATGACGACGTCGAGGTGTGTTAATATATGTTTCTCACTAATTGTTTGTATTAGGTATTGAAGCGCTTAGGGTTAGCCTTCGGTTTAGAGAAAGGTCGTGCTGCTCCAGGAACTTCAGAAAAAATCAAGAGCTGCTTGCCACCTGCTCTACGTGAATATGTTGATGAGATTATCCAATCAGGCGCCATGATGGTTGACTGTAAAGGGCTTTTTGATACGTATTCTTATATTCCTTGCATAGCTCCTTCTGTGAGTGGAATATCCAGTGTTAATGTTGGGGGGAAAGATAAGTCTGTCCAATACATATTATCTACTCCGGAAGAGGAAAAACCTCAGCTAGTTAGGCCGATTAGAAACCCTGTTGTTGTTAGATCAGCAAATCGATATACTGTAGTTAAACCATCGACTTTCAGTCATATTCCACAACCTAAGGTTTGTAAAAAAAAATTGTCTATTAATGTGCTATCATATTAGCGATATCAACAAGTTGTGGTCAGACCAAATGGATCTCAACGAGTTATGCTTGCCAACCAAAGCTCAGGAATACACTTGACCCGTCCGCTTCAAAATCAATTTAGATCTCAACCAGCTCATTACACCCACTATGAGCAGCCACAGGTAGCTTGATAAATATGATCGCTTCTTCTAATACACTTTGAAGGCTTCTGATTCTCACGGATATATGTATGAAGAAATCGAAGGGGAAGAAAACATTGATTATTCTTAAGTTTATAATTTTTGTTGTATGTATTATTAGGTGGAAGAGAGAATCCTCGGTCACTAGCGAGAAAATTAATGTGAAATTTGAATAAATTCCAAAAATTTTTTCTAGAAAGCCGAAATCAGAACGTCCGGAAAAGAAAGTTCTGAAGTTCACCATGTATAGAAGATGGAGGAAATCACGAAAGATCCTGTGCTCAGGAGATTTTTCGAAATAGAGACTGCATGATGATTTTCCCGGTACAACGCGGGTGATTTCCCTATGAGAGATTGAGATAATCTGGATTGAGATTGCATTTGTGAATAGCTTATTCCAAAGCTCATCATGTCAAATATACACTAAGCTCTCACCCCTTTATCTAAATCGTATCTTTGGCTCATCTGCGCTAATCTTCACAATTGGCTTTAAAGAATAATTTGTTTTACTTATGCAGGCGCTGTTTTTTGCCTTGAGAACCAGGAATAAATTTTTCAGGCTGTTTCTCAGTAAAAAAAGCGTACGCTTGAACATTGCAGATAGCTTTCTAGTGAGCATATTTCGCTGTATATCCCATTGAGACAATCCCAACTTCGTCCTTATTCATTTATCTAACTTTAATCGTGAGGTACCAAACATATTTTAATCACAAATAAAATGCTAGCCCAGGTTATCCATTCGCAAAAATTTCATGATCTAAAAGTTAACCGGAAAACCAAAACATGTTCGCGCGATGCGTCTACTTCATTGATTACTAGTGATCGATAAAAAATACTGCGCTTTTCTTAATAGGATTTTCCTGTATGAGTTACTTTTTTAGCGGGAAAACTATTTTTTGTAAACAAGAAGCACGAGCTAGTCGAAACGTATATTGGGCCCTGGGAGAAGATGTTCTATCTGGAAATTGGTTTCAAACACTAACACTCTTCCTGACTTTATTGCTTCAAACCATGTGAGACCCAAAAAGTAAATTAATAGCTAGTTCTTCTTTTTTCTAAGTTTCGGTGTATTATCAACTGGAACAACTTGCTCCCCAATAATTGGAAAGTATAAATTATTTTTTTTTATTGAACATTTACATTTTTTCTTTAATAGTATGCAATTGTGGACACTGAAAGGAGAATTAAATTTTGCAAACTTGGACATGTATAAGAAAGAAGAAGCCAATGATACCAAATTAAGCAACGAATCTAATCTATGTTCGTTCGGAGAATATATAACATAACTAGGGGAAGTGATACTCTTTGCTCTCTCCAATTAACGTCTTTCTTCCGATATATTATGATCTATTGAGCTTAAATCATTTTACACAGAAATGTTTTTATTCGTCATAACAAGCTTCTCAATTCAATTTCGTCTATAATTTCTCCTCAAAATCTTTGTGTCTTCTTTTTGTCTCTAATTTCGTCGTTTTTCCTTCATCTTGTCACAAAGAGTAAAAATAAGAGATTATCCACTTTTGAGGATATTTTAAATCTATGTGCAACGTCCTTGAAGAATCCCTGTTCAATTTTGTTTTTCTTTTTCTCATTCTTGATCACACATACCTCACTTTCAATATGTCGTGAGATGATAGTTTCTCAATTTTTCGAATCTTTTTTTTTCCATAAGTTTTCCAATCAATAATCGGATCGATATACCTTCGATTGCAATTTAATTTTAAGCGTTTTAGCGGAATACTCTTTTATTCATACCAAACTCAACTTCATAATCGATTATTCCTGCAATCCTGAAAAATATAATGCTTTGAGAAACAACCGGCTTGCGCGTCTTTTCACTCGGTAATGATTTCCCTTGTATACATCATAATATTCGTGGTTAACATAGGCAAGTTCACGTATTCAAGTATCTATCAAAAACTTAATCAGAACATTAATTATTCAATCCTCTTCGAACTTTTTTCAAAGAAGTGCATTCCTATAAATTAGATAAGTGTAATTTAAATGTAGTAAGCTTCTCTGAGTCCTATGAGCATCTCTGTGCAGATAATGGCTTGTAGCTGAATTAATTTACTTTTGAAGAGTTTTTAATTAACATTTTCAATCTTTAACTAATTCGTATGAATATTTCTATAGATTTTCAAAACTCTTCGAAGCTCAAGCTGTGTTTCTTCTCACACCTGCCTGATTATTATATTCTCTATTTATCAAAAAACTGTCCAAGTTTTCACAAAATGCACATAGATGACCTATCATATTGAAACATACATTCCTAACTATTGCACTGCGTCCATGACACCTGGTGGGTTGAGAATGTAGCTGTCACTTTACAATATTCTCTGAAAATATTAATAATACTCTTTCTTTCTCTTGTTGAATTAGGATTATTCGATGTTCATCGTGAAAAGGGCTCTCAAATCAGTTCCGACAAACTCTTTCTTTTCTGCTCAGATCTTTGCGTCCAACAGCTTCATTTTTTTCCTTTCATTAGAATCATTTGGAGATTTTATGGCATTTGGAGAAGAAATTTTGCACAATTAATTTTTCTTTTTGAATACATCAGATTTGAATATGGTGCTGGATACATCATGGTTACATGAAACACTCACACAAGGACATCAAGTAAGTTATTTGGTTCTGTCTTTTGACTATACTATCGTATAGGGGGTAATCTCAATCCATTACATAGCGCTATGCACAGGGATTGTTAACTGGCTACTAAATGGAATAATTTGGTATTCTTTCTCACAAACCCCTTCATTACTTATCAAATCACATTTATACCTCTTTTACGCATTTGCAGTTACAAACAGTTTCACAGGTAAATCAAAGATTCAGGCAAAACTAGTTTTGAGGTTCAAGGGTTTTTTACGGTTCCTACCTACATCAATCTTATAATTCATAATAATCTTAATTGTCCCAGATGGACCATTTTGATAGGATCAAGTGAGTTTTTCTATTGATACCAACTATCTTCATGCTATGTTTCAGCTTTTGAAATCGCCTTAGATCGTATAAGATCGTTGCTATCTCTGTCAATTGCTATTGAGCGCATTCATGCATTAGTTAGACCAGGAGATTACTATTTCTTAGATCATCGTAAAGTAAACGATTAACTATGCATTTTTGCTTTACTATTCATAAAAGTTGGCGGAAAATAATATAATATTTTAAAGGTTGCAATGAGAGTTTGTCTAGTTGCTCTTATTTGGGGAATTATTGATGCGATATGGATGGTTTGCGAAGATGGACTTCAAGTTGTACGTTGCTCTGCGATGAAATCTCATAATCAATCAAACTTTTCAGATTCGAATTCATTGTGTAACTACAGCTTCTTCTGGACCCATATTTCACATGTATTTTTTGCTTTCTTCCATCTTCTTTGGAATTCTGTTGACAGTCGTCTATTTCTTCTTCATATTTCGTTTATTCTACGTCAAAGAAAAACAAATTCTACTGAATAAAAAAATTTCTCGGGATTATTTCACTCAAGTAATAAGCCTGAGGTTTTTCTCTTTTGTAAAATACGTTTAGGCCAATTCTTTAACGGTCTGTGTAATACTAATGGTACTCTTGTTCTCCGTTGTACCTTGCTGCTTATACCTTTACGATATGATAGTCGGAAAGGTATTATGAGAGGATTTTATCATACTCATGTTTACTTAATTATAGGTTTTCTTCATGAAATGGGGTCCTATTATTACAGTCGGGTATCATTTGTATGGTATTTTAAGCTTCTTCTTCTATAACTGGAAACATAGAGATATTCGAGCAGCGTTACAGTAGGTTTTAATAAACATTGCATTATGGAACACTTTCCTTTTCTTTTTAATTCATCAAGCTTTTCGTGTTTGTGTTGATGGGAAAAATTTAGTAAATGTTATCCAGTTCGATGGTGGTTCGAATCCTGTAATCCTGCAAAATATCAACAAACACCATGCTTGAGCAATCTGACAGAGAAAACGCTCGTTCGAAAAACGCTGGAGAGACGCCCGCCAGTTCCCACCGTATCAACATCGTCAGGTGAAGAAGAGTTCTTATGAAAAGCTCAAGAATGGTACAAAATTGTATTTTTATTTTTAACGAGTAATTAATAAATGATCTCAAATGGAACCTTTGTTAGCTCAAGAAAGAAGTTAAGCATCAATAGTATGTTCGACTGTTTCTACAACAGCTGGAGAAGAGATGCTTAGATCCGTTTCAACTGTTTTTGAAACTTCACCAGTTTTCTTTTCGTCTTCATTTTTGTTTTCGTCACACGATTCTGTGAAATTCATAGATCTTACAGCTTCTTCAACATTGACCATCCGATTATCTGTGTTATCAGTAGTGACGGAAATGCTTTGAGTTTCCTTCTGTTGCTCATCTATTTGTTTTTGACGTTTCTCTTCTAACTATAAGTAGTTTCATAGAACAAGATTATTTTATAACTTCGGTCTACTATATGAATCGGTAATTATTCATCAACCTAATTGTTAACTAACCTTTTGACGTAGTTTCTCTGCACGCTCCTTATACTCCAAACCTTTGGATTTGACTCGTTCGATGTCTTCGATACGATCAAGGATAGCCTTTTTACGGCTTTCCAGCTCTACTATTCGCTTAAAAATCACCTGAAAGTTAACAAGTATCCACATAGCACACTGCATCTATAGTTACTTCTTCCTCAGCATTTCTCGGTTTTCGAAGACCTAACTTCTCGTTTTCTGTTTTCAATAAAGCCTCTCTCTCTTGTGCTTTCGCTATTTTTTCTAGCTTTTCCTGAAAAGGATCGAAGTAAACATGGAAAACCTATAATGACAATACCTGTCTGAGTTTCTCTGTTTTTACACCAATTTCTTCCATTTCTTGTATACGAGCCATGATTTCAGCTTTCTTTGTCTCCATTTCGGCGATGCGCTTCAACATTTCCTATAAATAATATCAAGATAAATAAAAGAGTTTGCTCGTTCCAGACTTCTTCCTTAAGTTTTATCGCTGACAAACTTTGTGGAACTGTTGGCTGGGCTTTCACATCGCTTCTTTTTGTTTCCTTCAAATAACTTCAGAGATTGATTAAGATATTCAGAAAATACTCCGGTAACTGTTTCTCCTGTGATCGACTCGGCTGGAACATTAATCACGTCTGATTTCTCAGGCAGGTTCTAAGCGTTTAGATGCAAAATAACACAGTGAGATAACAAACCTCTGTAGATTCAGATGACATTTCGAATATAAAGTTTTATACAACGGGATCAATGAAGAAAACTGATCAGGCAGAGGAGCCATATTACACTAGAATTACAAATCAATCGATAACTATGAAATATACTATTGAACGTCATAGCTATGTGGGTTAAAGCGAACAAAATTTTTGTTGCCAAGGTAACAACGACGAAATTATCAAGTTTTTCATTAGAAAATTTCGTTGAAAAAAGAGAAAAAAAGGAAAGAAAAGGAAATTGAAGAGAGAGAAAGGTGGAAATTTATGAAAGAATTATTAAAAGAAACAAAGAAACAGCATTGCAGAGCTGGAGAGTTAGAGATGGGAGGAGAAAAAGACAATTTTTACTTTCTTTTCTCATTTTTCAGCAAATCTTTTGAGTTCTTTTCCCAACATTTCATATTCAATCCTCCTAAAATGTTTGTTGCAACAGCTTACCGTCATCTTGTCTTACATTCGTTTTCCAGTTCTTCGTACAAACCTCTAATAATCCTACAATTTTCAGTAATTTTCGTAGATACTAAGTTAAAGTCGATGGATATCAATGACAAATATCTTTACAAATGGAATTCTTAATGTAAACTATGGCAAGAACTTGAGAACATATTCAAATCTGACACCAACAACGACCAATATGCCTTGTCTCCTTGTGAATGAACCAAAGAATATACAGCTAGTTCAAAACCATTTAAATATTTATTTAAATCTCTCCAATGATGAACTGTATACGTTTTCTGGAATTTTCAATGTATTCTCAGCGTTGACCATGTTAGGTCTGGCTTTATTTATATACTTATTGGTCAGTCGACGCGTTGACACGTAAGATATCACTTAAGAGTTGACTAAGTGAAATATTTTCCTTTATAGTTCTAATCGATGCTTTTTTGTTCACAACATGGCATATATGGCATTTGTAAATATGCTACAAGTCTTTTACACATGCTTCTTCCATAACTCCCCATTTGTTTATTCAAGGCATTGCTTTGCTACTTCTGAAAATCAATCAAATATGATCGTTTCAGACACAAGTATTCGAGTGATGTTCTGAATATCAGTATTGTTCGATGGTCCACAGCAGCTCTAATAATGTTAATAAGTCATTTCTCCTTTTACATAGCTGCTTTTGCTAAAATAATATCTTTGACATTCAAACGTCGATATCAGCATGAAGTTTTTCTTTCCGCCGTTTCAAAAGAAGTTTTACAGTAAAATTGAAGGTTTGGAATGAGAAAGTGGCTGTTGTGGCTTTTCTCATAAGTTTGGGATTTCCTTTGCTGTTTGTTGGAAGTTATATGTTAGAACATCCACGCAGTTTAGTTTTATATAAGACAAGCTTTTGTGATAAGTCATCTACTTCAACATTGGTTTTCCTTCTTCATCTGAACCTGCGAGCAAAGCTTTTTTAGATTGACTACAACAATCTCCGCTTATTAATATGCTCATTGGGTCTTATAACAGTTATCTTTGGATTATTTATGGCTTTAATAAAAAAACTATACTCAGCTGAAGTAATAAGCTTGTTTAGAAGAATTAACCCTCCCATAGTTCGAACAATGACATCTCGTAGGCAGATTTGAGCATCCATTCCTATCTGTCTCTTCAGCATCAGATAATACGCCTGCATATCGTCCTTTTCGTGTTCGGTTGAGAAGCATGGACGTTCATTATGGTTTTATTCTGATCTTTTACGGTTTTTTGATGTTATTCGAAACATTTTATCTTGAAAACGGTTCTTTATTTCAAATATTTGAGTATATTCGAAGTATTTTGCAGGTTTCCCTTATTATTCTCCTTATGAACTCATAATTTTCTTAGTCAGGGCTACATTTCTACCATTCATTACTTTACTTTACTATACCGTACCTTTATTAGTCGAACTTATCCATTATTTGGTTGTTTACATTTGTTCTTGAAACCTTTCTCATTTACATTGCTTCCAGGCTTTTCATCAGAATCGTAAAGAAAGTGTCGTACGTGGTGGAGATTTACTTGTGCTATCACCTTTCCATTTTATCACAAGAACTGATCGTAATAACCAAACGTGTGATGAATACGTTTCTGTTCACATTTCTACGAATTGCTAAGGTTCCAATAAATCTTATGCGAAATGTTAAGTTTTGCCAATGAATAACATTCCAAAGGCGGAAAAACGCACGTATGTCATGATAGTAAAGCAAATCTCGTTGGAAACATTCTGAATATTCTCAATTGAGAGCGATGCGATCAAAGGAAATACGAAGATGATCAAGGTTTATTGTAAAAAAAAGAGCTTCCGGCTGAAGAATTTCCTTGTATAAGGTCAGCTTATAAAGAGTCGAAGTGTTCGTTGTTCTCGGTGTAATCGAATATTAAAGATCAAGTTTCAATATTTCAAAGCTATTCGCATTCTTCTTGAGTCAGAAATGTTTCTCTTCATGATTTTAGGATTGATCTATAAGCAAACCTTATCAGCTAGCTATGAGAACGGTTTGTTTGCTTGTTCTTTTACTTTCACATCGACAGTTTAGAAACTGTTGAAGAGTACTGGAGAAAGGAGAACAATTTGAGAAGCTACCTCATGCAAAACTATTCATCGATGGTACCACCCATATACACCAGAAGTTTTCCAGTGTTTCTGATATAAATCATTTAATGTTTTAGCCAGATATTCAAATTTCACAAAACCTGTAGAGATGTACTGGCGGCTAACCCAGATGCGAATCTTGAATATGGATGAATCTCAACAGATCATCAGGTTATTGTGTGATGGGATGATGGTATTTTTGCGCTGTTCTAAGAGTTTTCAAAATAAATTTTCTTAAAGCATTGGAACGATCCTCGTTTAGTATGGAATCCAGCAGATTTCGATGGTATACGCAACATAAACTTTGTAGCTCTGCAGTTGTGGTATCCTGATGTTGTTCCAGATCGCTTGTAAGTTCAATAGCAATTAGTGGTCCTCTAAATCTATGTTCTACAGACTGGAAAGTATGGACTCTTTTGCGGCACATTTACCAGTAGCTACGGTATTTATTATTGGCTTCTTCTCGGTTATAGCCGCATTTCAGGTTCGGCATGACGGAACTGTCAGCTTCGCGATGAGTACTATTATATCAGCGTTTTGCGACATTAACGTAACTTTTCTAATGCTCTTTTCTTATGTATCTCAAGTTTAGATTAGTTTTTTCCCATTCGATAAGCAGGTGTGTGAGATTCGAATGAAATCAACATCTTATACAGCTAATGAGCTAATCTTAACTTCACTACCAACCGGAGCTTTACAGAACATGGCAAGTATCCCATTTAAATCCTTCCTATTTTTTAATCTAATATTAGAGTAGTGGGGAATGGACAGCGACGTCACTGATCTTAGAGACTTTTATTGAGACGAGTATTGTTTCTGGAGAGCAGTTTTACATAGTTTGTTGAAACATGAAGAAAGGAATGTGATTAGAGGTTTTCAGGGTGCCTATTATCTGAGATTAGCACGAAATCATGGGTTTCACATTTCTTTAATTGTCATACCTTGTCAGATAATCTTATATGTAACTTTACTCTCATTATTTGCTTCTCCAATCAGGACGGACACTTATTTCTCTAGGGTAATATACATGTGATTTCCGTTTAATTACTAAATGTCTAGGTGCATCTTGGATTTCAAGCAACTCTTGGAACCATCCTGATTCTTCAAATAACAACGAAAAACATGCCAAAAACGCGTTATATTCCAATTTTATGTGAGTTTAATGTAATTTCTATCTGATTTAAAAAGGACTGTTGAAGCTATATACATAATGGTTAACATATTAACCATAACAACCAGTGTTGTATCAATACTGGGTGTCGTGCGGTATGTTTACTCCAGACCGAACGGTCGAATAAGAAAATTGTGAGTTACAAACAAGTTCTACTAGTTTAATTTCGTCTGAGTTTCAGTCTTGCACGTAAAATGGATCATCGATTATCAGGAATATTAATTCACCATATTCATTTCTTTCTGTTATTTTTATTTTCTGTCGTTTCGACCACCAACCTAATTGTTTTAATTGTACGGGCTTGAGCAAACAGACGTTAAGGGCATTATGGCGATTTCTTTGTTAGTGAGATCATTTTACATAAAAATATTTTATTTCATTTCATTCTTCGTCTTCTTTTTTCCATGAAGTGTTTCATAATTCTGATACTTTTCTTCTGTGACGTATACACTCAGGACTATTCTAATGGTTAGTTCTCTAGTACACCTAACATTCTTATGGATTATCAATAACAATTCTAGAAACTTTACTACAGTTTATGACAAAACAAAAAAATCTGATTGATAACCTATTTCAAGGGTATCAAAGAGAATTAGCTCCTGTGTACGGGAGAGGTAAGTTGCGTCATCATTGTTTCTCTCATCATATACTCTGTTGTTAATTAGCAAGATACACCCAGTCTCCACCCGCCATTCAAGTTAACTTAACTGTCAGTTCGGCTAAATTATTGAAAATAGTTAGTTATAAATAATTACGAAGAGAAACATCGTTTCTTAGGATGACTCGGAACAATCGGCTCATTTAGCATTTGACTGCCATATAGTTGGTTCTTTTTGAATATCTAGTTGAATGTCATTTTGACAGGCTTGGACAGATTTCCGACTCAAATGGAATCCAGATGAGCACGATGAGATTGAGGAATTAATCCTGCCGGATTCACTTGTGTGGAAGCCGGACTTTGTTCCGGAGCAACTGTAACAGTCATTCAAAATAAAATAACCAAATGTGATAGTATTTCATTCAAAACAACAACAACTCTAAGTGAAGGATCATCAGCATTTGTTAATATCCGGCATACAGGACTTGTGGAATATACTGTGCGATATGTGCAAGTGATATTATGCTTATTGAACGTATCATGCCATATCCTACATAAAATGATCAAAATTTTTAAGATTTCGAAGTTTCCTAAAGACAGTCAGGTGTGTAAAATGCGTCTAACATCATATTCTCTTCTTGCTCGTGAAATAACTTTAAACCCATCAGTTCACGAATCTTTCGAGCTGTCAGAAGTAGACAATGGTGAATGGACAGTTAAAGAGTTAATGATATTGAATGAAACAACTCGAATATCTAATAACTTAGAATACCCAGTGGTATGGATAATATAGTTTCATGAGAGTTTTAAATATTGCAGGGAGGATACAATGTTCTAATTAAGAGAAACTCACAATTCTACACCATTTTGATTGTAATACCTTCTGTCATCTTGACTTTCCTAGCTTTCATTGGCATGTTCTTCTCAAGAATTACGAAAGATTCTTTGCCCGAAAAAGTGAGCTTTCTGCTTTTTCATACTGTTCAAAACTAATTATGCTAATTACAGCTTAATTTGGGTTTCTCCGCTATTTTAGCGACGATAATGATTATTCAGATCACAACAGATAATTTACCGAAATCTCCATATGTTCCCATTTTATGTAAGTTTTGTTTGCAATCATCATTTCTTTTCCCTCTTTCAAGCTATTTTCATTGTTGTCAATCTCTTCATGGAAGTTGCATCCGTGGTTTTATTGTTATTGCTCGGAATATTTCTATTGGATTATGATAAAAACGCTCATAAGGATGGCCTTCTGTAAGTTTTCCTCGTCTAGCGTCAAATATTTTTTCCTTGCAGTTTCTCAGTGGAAGCAAAAGCAAAATTGAATAGATTCATATCAAAGAGAATTCATCATTTCTTATTAGTGATCTCATTGTCTCTTTTATTACTGAATGGCATAATATTTTATAAAAGCTAATGAAGCTAATGAAGGTATCGGGGTAGATTTGAATTGAATTGGGATTTGTATGACAAATAGATTTTGAATCTTTCAATGAAAAGAGGCAAATTGAAACGAAAATCTGTGTTGAGGAAGACAGCATGGTTTACATAAGATAACGAGAGATGTTCCAACTCAACTCCGCAAAAAACTGGCAATTGAATTCCTCGTTTGTTCAAAGCGAAACGAATCCTCTTCTTGAACTCAGGCCACAGGATCCGAGGAATAATGAACGATGTGACTTTTTCCAGAGGGGTTGCAAGCACTCCGCCTAGAGCCATCTGAATACTCACGTTTTAGATAGCATTTTGAACTAAAAATAAACCTCAAATACATTGACATCGACAGAAGTAAGCGAGACATCACCATATATCCGCGAATGACGTATTGTTGGCTTTACCTGCATTTTTAATTAATTTTTCGTTGAATTTCCAATTTAAGGATACCGTAACGTGAAGAGAAACATTCGAATGAAGAAGGTTTGTGTTTTCTTTCCTCCCTTAAACTCTCTTTATTCTCCCCACTCATGAAATGGATTGGGTTACCTTGGAAGTTAAATGTTACGTTTCCTGAGATCAGAATACGAGCTCCCAGCTTCTCATTGATTTCAACTTTAGGTTTACTAGAACAAACCTTTTTTGTCTCATTTTTCATTCATTTATACCTTGTAAGAGTTATATTAATATCCAAATAACATTTCGCACAGAAAACTGTGCCCAACTTTCTCAATGCTTTCGGTAAATCAGCAGCAACGAATCTGAAAGCTTCAGAACGTATTTGTTTGAATAGAAGAAAGGACCTTTTATGAACGCTGCCAAAGCGATTGTCATACAGATGAGAGAGGATAGTGTTCGGAATATACTCAGAAACCAAAATTCCAACCATCTTCAGAAAAACATTTTCTTATTATTCATATCAGTTCAAAAATTCAAAGATACCTTTTCATTCAGAACTTTAACATCTAAGGTATTCGGTTTTGAAACATCTTTAGCTTCCTTCCCATTTAATAACGATCCACCATCAAATCCGAATATTAGATCCTTTAAAATAATATTTTTTACTAGAAAACATGTGAATAGAAGTATTCATTTTTTTGTGGACCCTTGAATAGCCAATGAGATGGAACCTACATCTTTAGTAAACCGAGGTGGATAAACAAGCCTTAAATCGGCACTCCATTTTTCAGCTGACTTGTTGGAAAACGCTGTTGTTTCAACAATATCTCTTTCTTCTTCTTTTTCTTCTTCTTTTTCTTCTTTTGTCATTGATTCTGTCTAGAAATGAAAAAATTGAAAAAAAAACTTTAATATTTTTTACGTGGCATAAACTGGCGCCTAGTTCAACAATACTCAAGGAATCATCGTCCTCTTCAACAACTTCGGAGCTCATAGTTATGTTTGTTGGCGAATCCTAAAGTTTTTTACTTTCGATGAATATTTGAATAAATTAATACTTGAATCTCTTGTTCATCGATATATCGGAGAGCATTTATGGAAGTCTCACACACAGTATCCTTCAATGCATTCACAATCTGATTTGAACTGATATGACAAACATTCTAAAACATCGACAACTTACAGCATCTCTGATTTCAACACGTAAAGAATTCAATTGAGAATCTTGATCAATAATTAACTGTACATCTGAGTGTTTCACTTCACAATATGGAGCCTGAATGTAACCTTTCTCGAACCTATTCATAGTTACCAAACCTCAATGACGTTCCTATCAATTGTCTCGTTTCTTTTATAATGAATTTCGATTCCAATTGTTAAATTGTGAATATCAACTAGGAAAGCTCCTACGACATTTGAATATGTAAGAGTTTATGAGTCAGAGAACCAACCATCGTATTCGAAAAATAGAAAAGATATTCTTGCATGGGATGACACTCGTATATATGGTAGAAGAATGTTTGCTCGTATTCCTTAACTATATGAATTTGGAAAAATTTAACTACTACAAAACCTTTTCCCTCAATAAACTTGGACGAAATGTTAGGTCTTGTGACCTCATGGATAAGAGTATTATAAATCTTAGCAGCACTCAGCTCAACATCTGGTGGACTGAGGTTATTCAGTAATTGGGGTAAAGCATCCGATGAAAGATCTTAACTTTTCTTTAAAAAATGAAATAAAAGCTTTTGAAACCTGTGATGTAATCAATTGCTCGTTGATTCAAACGAAAGAAAATTCCGGCGTTGTTGTTAGTTTGTTGGTAAGTTAGAAGACATAGAGAGAGAAAGAGGAGAAGTTGCATTAGTATAAACGTCACTAAACAGTATAGTAATGATCAAAAAATGATAAAATATCTTGTTGTTATCAAAGAAACTGTCAAAAGTGAACCGATAAAAAACGTTAGCTTTCAATCGCAGATGAGCAAATGAAGGAAAGGAAAGGGCGTCTGTTCCACAGCAGACGGCCGATGATGAATAACCGATGTGATTTTTACAAAAACATGTATGAAAAGTCATTTATTTAATCTCAAATCTCATTTTTTGATTCTCAAACGAGACGAATATAATAGGAACGTCTTCTGTTCGGAGCGGTAGATGCTTTATCTCGAGCGATTCGACGGAATCTTAAGAAATCAAATGATACAGTTTAATATGAAAATATAAAGACAAACCTATTTTTACGACAACAGAAATGGCTTGGAATGACAGTACACATCTCGCGATTACCCAGATTACCTTGAATGTATGAGAACTGTGAGAGCTTTTAAAGATACATGTAACTTACAAGCAGAATAATCCTGTCTAGCCTCCATTAAAGAATGGAGTAGGCACAGAAGAAGTAAAATCGACATCAAGTATTTCATTTCTCTGGAAAAAATGGAATGAAAGAGTTTTGAAGGCAAAAGAACAACACAACCAACCCACATGAGAAATTTCTTTTTTTGACTCGCAATTTGCAGATTTTATTAGTTAACTATACGCTATAAGAATGAAAAACACTTTGAAACTTTGAAAAAACAAAGAAAAAAAGGCAGGAAATTAACTTTCCATTGCCAAAAATTAGAAAAATGTAATGGAAATCTGTAAAAGTTCTCTCTTTTCTTTCAATTTTCTAGTTTGGCTTAGTTCTTGCAAATTTCACGTAAATTTGAGGGAGCCAAACTCATTTTTTCATGTTAAACGCATTGAGTGGTTGTTCCTTTGTGAGTTAGAGGTTTTATTGAAGTTGTGGTTGGTGATCACATTGGACGAAATCTGAATGAGAACTAGAGAAAATGGAAAAAGTTAGGTAGGAAGGGGGGGGGGGGGAAGAAGGATATTGGGGGGGGGGAAGAATGATATTGGTGTCGGTGGTGATGACAGAAGCAGAAATGAAAAGTTGTTTCCGTGAAACAAGTGCTGACTATATGGATATCTTGTTTTTAAAAACAATGTAAATCGAATAATAATATGTAAATATTGGAAAAAAGGACACGAATAGCAACTTATTACATCCATTGACGTCATGTGACTAAGAATAGATCTTGAAGATACTAAATAAAGATTTACACGTGTTTGTTACTCATCACTTTTACTTATGGGGGCGTAATCAGCTCTTACAACATCTTCCTTTTATATCTTTTTCGCTCTTTCTTTCTTCCACTCGAATGGAGGAGGAGAAGCTTGAACTTGTTAGCGGAACTGATAGATCTAACCCATAAAGCTTTTACAATCCTTTTTCATGGAAAAATGACTTCCTCATTACCCTTAGACACGTATCATTCTCATTCTATCATCTATCACATTCAACACTTATCCAATATTTTTTTCAAACACCAAGCACTTTTTTGTTTTTTGTTCTTTTTTTCCAGGTTAACTCAATGATTTTTAAGCTTTTATGAAGTAGTTACTTTAGTACTTACTTCATTTTCTTCAAACAGCCTTAGGCGTTTTCTCATGAACATCTTGATTTAGGAGAAATTTAGGGAAAAAACATTCAAATAACTCGTCCACTTTTGACATGGTCATCATTATGCTTTCGATGCAATCGAATTAAAATTGGAAAAAAACGTATTCAACTGGAAGTTTCGTACTTCTAGAGCTAGACAAGCTGCATGTCACTTGCAGCATAGCTTCACACTTCTTTCCTCCTCCCCCTTTCTCCCTCATTCCTTCCATTCTTTCGTTGACCCTTTTAAGGCTATTTCCTAATAAGAAGATACATCAATCTGTTTTTGCTTCTCATATATTTGACCCAACGGTTTTTGATCGCGAAGTGGCCACTTTAACCTCCTCCTCTCTTGTTTTCGGAAAAGAAAAAACTTCATTATGGGGTTCTAACCTGCTCTCCTCCGCTGTTTGCCTGACCCACGTGAATTACGTGAAGGCTCATTCTAATCTTCCAAAACTACACAGATCGCTTGTAAACATTCTTTCTTTGAGTAGGCTTCTTCAAATCTTTCTAGATTCGTAAGGAACAAAAAATGTTCTTCATTACCGCACCGCAAATTATACATTTTCAGTTTCTACGCTCAACTTTTCTTTTTGAAAGTTTTAATTGTTTATTTTGAGTTTATTTAGGATAATTCATGTTAAACGACGAAATATTTGTCTGATTCTAATATTTTATGCTGGAAGCCTCGTATTTTATTCTTACACTTCCAACTTTCAACTCTTTCATATTCCTCGTTTTAACCTCATCCTGGGTTTTTTTCCCTCTATACTTCATGGCCCATCTCTCACTTGCTCTCATTCGCAATTCTTTCTTAATAGATATCTATTAGTTCATATACTCAGAATTTCAGAAAGGAGAAAATTCAATTTAATTCTAATTTTCAAGTTCAAAGAAAAAAAGTTTTTTTTTTCTTTTCTGATCGTTTCAAGTCTTTTCATGACACATTGTGTTCTATCAATAGGTATCAAGTGAGCTATGAATATTATAACTATAACAGATGAAAAAAATTCAGCTGCTTGCACAACTGAACACTACTAATCATATGCAAATAGTTAAGACATTTCAAAGGTTGTAGATGTTTAAACTTTATCCTATAGCCTAATTAAGCTCATTAAATGAACTTTAATCATGGGCTTTTAATTAAATTTAATTCTAATGTCATTTAGGTCATCATTCTTTTGTAAAAGTTTCGAGAGAGAGGAAAAACGGAGATGCTTTAGTTATCTAGGTAATGACGTCATCTAGGATGTTAGAAAACTCGATTGGCAACATGTCAGAAGGCTCTCTGTTGTGACTGCCAACTCGTCCATATCTGACGTACTTGGTTCTATGAATAGAATACAGTATTATATAACTATATGATATAGTTAAATCCTTCATTATCTTTCGATTAAATAAAAAATATTTTGTTTATAATTCAACCGCTCAACACGTCAAAGAACATGATAAATGAGATGTGAACTTGCACGTGTCTCTGCATGGAAATAAAAGAAAATCATGTTAAATGAGCAAACTCAATTTTTCTCCTGTTTTTCCAGATTTTTCGAAAAATTATGAAGTTTTTGTCTCTTTTTTGAACCTTTGTGAAAGCTTTCTTGCTATGATTCTTTTCAGACTTTCAAATTGAAAATGAGCTTAAACGAAAAGTTTGTCAGCTTTTAGTGTAACCCCTCCCCTTTTTGCTTTTATTCACATTCATCAGCAGCTTGATTTCGTGGTATTTCTATGTTATTGGAAAAAAGAATATTTGTGATGAAATGAGAGTGAGGGAGGAATAATTTATCTTCGCTTTCACTCACCTATCCTTCTCAGTATTAAGTCTCGAAGTAAGTGCATATATTAAGAAGCGGAAGAGAAGCTGACGTACATTAAATGTCTTCTCTATCAGACGAATCTTTTTTAGGTATAATAGTGTTATAGATTGAGCAAAAAGAGTTGTTGGAAAAAGCATACAAGTTGTGTGTGTCAGAGAGAGAGGGAGAAAGAGAGGGAGAGAGAGAGAGAAAGAGAGAGAGAGAGAGAGAGAGAGAGAGAGAGAGAGAGAGAGAGAGAGAGAGAAAGATAGTGAAAGAATGAGGAAGGAAGAAAGAAATAAAGAGAGAGTAATCGTGGAGAAAGAAAGAGGGAATGAGAAAAAGGAATAGAAAAATATATGAATAGAAATGAGAGAAAGAAACATAGATAGATAGATAGATAGATAGATAGATAGAGGAATAGGAGACACTCGTATTCTTCTGAGACTTCGGGACCATACAACATTGGTGTTTGTCGGTCCATCTCCCTATCCTCCTACTCTTTTATCTCTTATTTTCTCTCACGTTTATCAGAAGCAGCCATTCAGCTTTGAATGACTTTCTAGATTTCACCTTATTTCCTTCATTTTATTTTAGAAAATGCTTGAAAAACAGATGAAAACAAGAAATAACATTAATTTTACTCTAGGATTACATTGTTCTTAATCCATCATGTGGTACACATAATCAAGTTGCAAATTACTAACGATTCAGCTTAAACATGGATCATACTCTACATAAATGTAATCGTCATGTGATGACTCTCTGCCATTCCTAATGACTGGCGATAGATGAATCAACTTTACATGCCATTCAAAGGTAGTACTGTTCGTCGGCCTTCATTTCTTTCTCTCTCTCTCTCGTCTCTTTTTCTCCTATTTGAGTAATGCAATGTCAACACGACTGGTTCTTTACAAACCTTGTCCACACACTGTTTTCTCTTTGCAACCCCACCCATTTCCCTATTATTCTTTTCTCTCTCTTCCTATCCTTAGTATTTACTTCACGTGTAGCCTAGGTCCTCTTGATAATACATTTTCTCTTATCCACCTTTAACACCATCCCATTTTAACCCTTCACGACAATCCCTACTTCATTCTATGTACAGTCACGTCCGTTATTTTGTTGCTCATCATCGTTCTCCCCTGAACGATTCTGTTGTGGAAGTTGTAACAAATACAAGTATTTTTTTACAGTCATTGTACATTCCACATTTATGTTTCTACCTATCGGTTGTATCACCATCTCGAGCTTTTTCGCTCCCTGCTTCCCTAACACATCTCTTACAATTTTTCTCTTTCCTCTGAACAAACCATCCGACTCATCAGTTTCGTTTTCTTACCAAGTTGTTATTTTACTTCCTCAACGTTTTTCAATAGTGCTTGAAAATCATACATTGAAATAGACATCTCATAACAAAATTTCGTTTGATTTTTTACAAACCTTCCTCCAATTGAAGCGATTGCTTAAGTATTCTCAATTAACAAACTGATAGCGAATGAGAGAAAAAGTGGCAGAGCACGAGGTATACAAGAAAAAAACCTAAAAGAAATTTCAAAACCTTCTATATAAAAGTTTAGAGAGGAGAATGACGAAGCTGCTGTTTGGCTGTCGTCATCAAATAAACAGCTATTTTCCTAGCATCCTACTCGGTTTTCTTTCAATTTCATGAGTCACAGCTCGTTTTACGATTGAATTATTGCCAATCTATCTGGCTTTGTACAGTGCACCTTTCCTCCTCATCTGGCCTGAATGAATTTTCCTTCTAACTATAATGACCGTCATGTGAATCGTTCGACTATCCGGTTTTTTGCTGTAAACTTTTATATTCCCACCTCAAAAGCAAGAATAAGATCGTTTATAATCAACTATAACTCATCCACCCACTTTCTCTTCTATTTTATCTCATAATTGGCCCCTTCTTTATCAGTGATGGCGGGGTTTCATTCCATCTATCTCTCTATTCCCTCTCTCTTTCTTGATTATTACCATTTCTTATCATCATTCTCATTTTCAAAACAAAAAAATAATTTTCATTTACATCAATTCTTCAATATTTTAAATACAACATTATCATTTGATATAATGTTATTTTCGCAAACCTCAATGGTGTCACTTTTCTCTTTCTCTCTCTCTCTCTCTTTCTCTCTCGATCTCTAACTCTCTTTCTCTACCTCTCACTTTGCTTGACCTTTTGTGTTGACAACAAATTTTGGTTGACAAAACACGCGAATCTTATCGATTTTCATTCAGGCTTCACTAATTTCCTTGATTTTTCAACTTTCTTCTCAGTCACGGCATATGATTTGTCTATTTTATATTCGTGTTTTCCACTTTTCAATTGATTTTTTCTGTTGATTATCTATCTGTTGAGCCATTTTCGAATGATTTATCATGTTTCTCATCTATTTTCAACAATATTATTCTCTATACTTCTCTGAAAAAAAAGAAGATTTTCTCTTTAATCCATCATATGCGGCTAACTGATCATCAAATTTCAGCCATGGCTATCGAAGTACAACAAATCATCGAACTCATCCTCGCTATTTTCTTCCCTGTAAGTTTCTTTTTCGCAATTCAATAATACACAAGAAAAGAGAATGTTAGAGTCAGCCGAGTATCATTTTCTTTTATCTTCTGAACAGAAAGAGCTATTGATTGAAAACTCATAACCAATCCATCAAATGGTTTTGCTTTCATTACACAAATATAATATAACAATGTGAATATTGTTAAAGGTATTTAATCATAAAATTTCAGCCATTGGCGATTTTCATCCATGGTTCTGACTGTAACATCCATGTAGCCGTTTCAATTATTCTCTGTTTCTTATTCTACGTACCAGCCATCATCCACGCTCTCTGGTACTGCTTCTTCAGATCTTAGATGAATCCTACCAGAAGCTTCGCCTGCTGTTTCTTCTTTCATTTCTTCAAATAAAAGAGAAGAATGAAGAAAAGTTACATTTATGATACATTTTTTTATCACAATATCTGAAATTGTCTGCCTTTTTTTTGATTTTCTCTTGTCTTAGCAATGATTTTATGTTAATGAAGATTTTTAAGCAACAAATAATATTCTCATTTTGTCCGAAGTTGGAATAGTACTAGTAAAAGAGAATTTGCATTTCTGAGAATAGAACTCCGGAAGGTTATAATTATGTTTATTATCTTTTTTAATATTATTAATACTACAAATATCTATATCGTATTTCTACTCATACACATCATACAATACAAATGTATCTATGTATGTATATGCAAACTATAATATTGGACAACCATTTATGCGACTGAAAAACAATCAAAATGAATCTGGTGGAGCCAAACGTGAGATATATGCTAATGAGCGTTATATATCCTAATGATTCTATGCCTCATTAGCGTATTTTTGATATCACGTGTTTAGTTATTCATTCTTATAAACAATATTTCAATATTAAATATGAGGCTTAATTGTTGTAATTATTAAATATTTGTTATTTGATCATTATCTACAAACTGGAAAAGTCATTTCAAGCCTGCTTTTCATTCGTTTCCTCAGCTGTTTCAGCGTTTGTTGCCTGAAAGAACAAGAATAGGGGGTTGATCAATTGATTGCATACATCATCATGATGAGGGCCTAATGGATCTCCTTTAATTTTTTTCTGCATTTTACGGAATTTGGAAGCCATATTCTTATATCTTAATAACTGAAGATGAAATATATCCGAATAGTTGCATAACAACCTTATGCAACAAGTGTTGGGGGCACATTCAACATAGCCAGGAGGGCAAATACATGGGCTACCACAACCAACAGTTACTTCTTCTAAAAAAAAGTTTTGAAAACGAATATAGCATGGTATAATTCGTCACAACATGCTATCCAAACATCGAAATCATGCCAATAGTGAGAAGTTGAATAGTCCTTATCCCGATCATGCTGCCATTCCTTCAAGCTTTGGAACGAAAAATAAATCTTCCAAACACACAAGAGGAACTTCACTTTTTTGTTATTCAATCGTGAGAAAGGAAGTGAGAAGGAAGTATGGAGAATAAGATTATTAATAATTTACTCAGAATCGCATGCAATAAATGGAATCGGATGGTTATTACTATGAATTGAAAGACAGAAGGATGGAACACTTTAAACTAAGTGGTTCATACGTTTCATTTGACTAGTGCAAGATGGTAAGCAGGCTGGCATACAAGAAGCTGCACAGGCTGGAGCTATTGGAGCAGGGGCATAAGCAGCTACACAAGTTGGAGAACAAGCTGGCATACAGTAAGAAACGCATGTAACCTGAAAGCGATCAAAACTCTTATGGTTTCTTTTTAATTTTCTCACTCTAGATAAACATTGATTATCACATGAGGGCATACATTCGGAAGCACAGGAAGCTGGTGCTAATTGCACAGAAAACCTTGAAGAAACTATTCTTAACAATTTTCAGAAAATAGCTTACTGTTGGACACATGTCGAAGTGCATGATGGTTGGCATTGCTGAGGGCACATTTGTTGTTGAAGACATGAGGGAGTACAGGAGGGCATGCAACCACTGGCACAGCCGGCCGGACGGAGTGCGACCTTTTCAGATATACCATCATCATTTCTTCAATATACACTAACCTGCATTTGAGTCACACAAGCATTGGTGCACATTGGACGACATTGAGCAGGGCAGAACTGAATTTGGGAAACACATACATCACTGCAGGAAGGCATGCATGCGGAATCGCAAGTTTTTTGCCGAACCTAAAAATGTTTAATTTTCAATTTATTCTTCAGAAACTCTATTCACTTGAACTTGGATTGACACCGCTTGGATACAGGTTGGTAAACATCTCGGCATACAAGCAGAAACACAAGTTGTTTGTCTGAATAGTTATTCAACCGTGTTGACAAATATTATTTAGGCATACTGGCAAGTTGGTGGACAGTTGTTTGTGCAGGAGCTACAAGTGACCGCTTCAACACATTGAGCGTTACAAGATGGCATACAAGGAGATACACATGAGGGAGTCAAGATCGGAGCTGGACGCATCTAAAAATAAATGTGCGCTGTAAAGAATTCAAGTTTCACACCTGTACTGCTTGAACACATTGAGGTGCACAAGTTGGAAGACATTGTTGTGGGCAAGTTGGAACAGCAATCTGAAAATAAGAGTCTTACTGTTCAGATGAGTTTGAAGGCAGTACCTTGATGCAGTTCATATCACATGAAGGCATACATTGAGGAACACATTGTTGCTGTTGAACAACCTTTTAAAAAATTTTGTAAAAATTATGGAAAAAGGCGAACTTGAACAGAATTCATACAGCTTGGAAGACAGCTTGGCATGCAGGTTTGAGAACAAGTGCGAGTCACCTTTAAATTACTGATTTGATCATAGTGATTTTAGAAATACCGTAATCTGTTGAATACAGGTTGGTTCACATCGAGGCATACATTGCTGAACGCAAGTTTGAACAGGAATCTTAAAAGTAAAAATAGAGGTTTACAAAACGATAAAAGTGTCAAAGCTACAGAGATTTGTTGCATACAAGCAGGTTCACATCTCGGCATACATTGAGGAGCACAACCTGGTCCCTTAAAATGTTTCGTTGATTTCTATGGATAATAAACAATTTGATGGAGGAATTGACCAACAGAAGCTGTTTCAGAAACGATTGAATGCTAGTGCACTTACTGAGTTAACAAGATTAATACAAGCTGATTCACAACGAGGCATACATTGCGGAACACATGAGGGTAACGGTGCTGGTCCGGGAACCGGAATGTGAATTGGTGGTGGTGGGGGTGGAGGTGGTAGTACTGGTTGAGGAAGCATAGGTGCTGGCTGTAGTGATACAAGAACATAAACAATACAACAAAGTAGTGCAACTATCTAATGGTTTGTTTATTAAGTATCTCATCTACCTGATTTATCCTAGTAAGAGTTGTTCGAACTCGCTGAACCTTAGTAAATTTGATTGTTTTTAATGCTGCATTTTTTTTTCGTAACATTGAATTCTCATCGAAACTCTCTCAATACGAAAAATGTGCTGTTCTTTAGAAATTGGCTTTGAGAGGTATGAGAAATTTAAGAGTTTCAGTATCTAAACAGCAATGAAACCCTTCATCTCTCATTCAAATTCTCGCTCTTTTCATTTTCTCTCTTTTTTCAAGTTCCGTTCAGAAATTGATACATTGGAAGTATAAGGATAAATTTTCGACAGCTAGTCCTTTCTTGGAATATACATATTTATAACACTTAATAAACTCACAGCTCCCATTACGCAAACGTTTGTACACATTGGTTGGCAATGGTCGGGACATGCAATCTACAGTAATTAATTTTTTTTCTCAAAGCACTATGTTTTGGGTTACCATCGGTTGAGGTTGAGCTACGGGCATCATCGGACATCCTCCGCATCCACAATCCTGGCCAGGACGACACATAGCACAGCATTGGCGTTTTGATCTCGATATTTGGGTTGAGAACACTGACTGAACGAAGCATATTCAACAAGTCTGAGAAACTCCAGCGACAAACCGAGTTAGAAGTTTCAGCCAACACATTTATAATTAGAAGTGCAGATGCAAAGAGGAAAAACCTTGGCGTTATCATCTCTGTAATGAAAGACTGTAAGCAATCAGCAATAAATGAAAAATCGAAAGGGAATATGATGAAGTAGGAGGAGATGAATAGACGGCTCTATGCTTTCTTTCGCACTTTTTCATCATGAGCACTATCTATAATCTTGTCCACATTTTTCTTAGGATGGACAGCTCTAAATTATCCTCAAAATTTCAGAAAAATCTAGAAATGTCAAGCTCGGACAACAGAAGGTTTTCTCTATTGGAATTAAATAATCAAACAGTTAAAGAAATATTTGGAATATCTATGACGTTTTGGGATAGATGTAAAGCGAGAGATTTAAGAAGGATATGAGAAGAACGGAGAAATTGAGAAGCTGAAGCAAATGAGTAGGCCGGCCGGTCTCTCCGACTCGCCAAACGGAACGGTCAACTGTCCTTCGCACCTTCAGGGCTATTTGTACCCCTGTATTTACAGAGATTGACACCCAAACGCTGGAGCTTCTACTTCTTTTTTTCTCTCCTATTATTGCATTATTTTTCGCAAAATGCTCTCTTAAAAATGCTTGTTCACATTGAGAATCTGTATGAGCTGTCCTTTGAATTCTTTGTATGTGTTAGGTTGTTTCTCTCGAACTCTCTTTTTTCTCGTCTCTTCTCATTCTCTTTCTGACTTTTTTTTTCTCTTCCATTCAACAATAGGCAATGGTTTATACCATCTAAAAACTTGATGGAGAAAAAGCTTGACCAGCCCAACAATCAGGAAGACAGGTAACATTTCCTCCCATGTTGTACACCGTTTTCTTCCATCTTTTCTTTGCGATGACAAGTTATGACAAGTTTTATCTCCAACCACACACGAATAAACAAAAATGGAACCAAAACCATCATCTTCCTTCTCACTTTGAATTCTGAATACTGGTTGGAAACTCATTCAATCTTTCTGCTCGCTACATTATGAATCATCTGAGTTGTTAAAACTGGTTTCACTAATTTCATATTCTCACACTTACCACAAAACGCTTTTCTTCTGATAGATGGACGTCTGGAACAAACCTAAAGAGCTCTCTCTACTATGAGGGAGTTTAAAGTATCGATCATAAGTATTTTCATTTGAATATCACTATCAACAGATAAAGTCTTTATTGCTTATTCACAGAATTTCCAAATTATTCAAATGTATTCTCCATAGGTTTATCCCAGGAGAGACGTAATACAGGATGGTTGGCTCTGATAAGAGCTTCTCTTTTCTTCCTTCCATACATGCCTATGCCCATTCCCATGCCCATTCCACAACCGCAACCTCTGCAAAATCCAATTAATGTTTCGTTCATGAATTATAATGTTATTTTCTGCTCCACGTTGAAGTTAAAAGATTACCCTCGCATGCACATTGGCATACATACTGGGACGCAACAACCGCAACATGAGCCAAAACCAATCATTGGTGGAGGTATTGGAGGTGGAATCGGCATCTATATTTGAATTTATTCGCAATATAACATTATAAAACTCATACAGGAATAGGAATTGGATGAGGGATGGGTACTGGTTGTGGTACTGGCACTGGCACAGGAATAGGACGAGGCATGGAACAACACATGCTGACAACTCCACAACAACCTCCCCATTGTCGTTTGGCTCGAATGTGTCCAACAGCACTCTATGATTTGTTCGAATTAAGATAACATAAAACAAACAAAAAGAACATACAGTATCAGCTACGGCTAAGGCAGTACTCGCTGAGACTTCTGCTGAAGCTGATGTTGAAGCATCAAGAGATTGCAAATCAGCATTCACAATTATGAATATTGAGAGAAAATGAAAGACCTTAGCCATGAACATAATACTTGCGAATGAATAGCTCGTTCATCAGCTTTTCTATATTTGTATTTTAGAAGAAAGTTTCCTATTTAGGTCAAGAGAGGGAGTAATTCATCTGTATCTTACATACTATGAATACTCTCTAATATCTAACCAGTATTTCAGAATGTTCTGTGAAACATAAAATGTTGAAAGTTTGTTCAGAACTTAGCGAGAGTAGCTTGAGGCGATGAGAGAGATAGAGAAGAGCAGAGAGCATGCCTTGGATTAGTTCTGTTTCTTCAGCCTGTTTCCAGCTTCAGGACAAACATCAGAAGCCGTGAACGATGTTTCTACTTTTCTCACCCTATATCCTCCTTCAAATCAGGCTTCATTTCATACTGTAAAACTCAGCGGATGAGAAAAGAGACAGAAGGAAAGATTTTCTTAAAACTGCACATACGAATGTTATTTTGGTAGTTCAATTCATCTCGAAAAAACAGAAATTGAAATAAAAAGCTGTGTAGTTGAATTCAATTGGTTTGTTCTTCACCAATAAGAACCACTAAATATATTTTGTGAATCTATGATGTCTAATAACGGCATCATCTTCAATTTTTAAAAATGGAGTTCGCTTTCATCCTGAAGAGGAATCGGAAGGACATAAAGCAAACATATATGTATGAATACTCCTTTTCTGTATTGAGAAGATGAATTTGACATTTGACTGGAAACTCATAATATTTGAAAAAGCAATCCATAACCGCTCATCAAAACAAAGATTGCCTTATAACAATCGAAATAAAAAATTTTAATTTTTTTCTCTCCCGTGGTCCTTGGGAAATGTTTCATGATCACCTAAAACTGATGAGGACGATCTTCATTCTTAGTTCTTTTCAATCTAGAAACTAGAATTTTGGATGTCACATTTTCATGTTCGGAAGTTGAAGATGTTTTCAAAGTTTTGAAAAGGAAACTGAAATCTGTCGTTCAGCTTTCAAATCTGAACGTTTAAACCATTTGAAAGCGTTCATATGAAACAAGTCAGTTTGGTTTTCGAGAATCCAGTTAGATTATATTATTTGGGCTCTTTGGCAGCCACTCGAGATTTAACCACAAACAGTACAGTTTCCATTCTCTCTTTTGCTCTTTCTCTATTTCTTTTTTCTCTTTACAAAGTGAATGATTTGGTGCCTCAGGCAATTTCCTTTGTGCGTGAACTCTATACAAACAGAAGGGTCTGTCTCAACGTCATCGTACCTATCCACAATAAGTAGAGTGCCGAAAAAGTTTTTGTTTGACTGAGAAAAAAAAAATTTTCTCGTCTTTTTTAAGAAGAAGATTTCTGATAATTTGATAGAAAAATATTTCAAAATCCTTACATACAGGTCCTGGAAAGAAACTTAGAGCATTCTCTGTCCATTTTGTTTGTTTAGAGAGAAGAAATAGATGAACAGAGAAGAAACACCTGTACGTGAATTTTTCAAAAATCACATTTGTTCGGTGCGATTTTAAAAAAGAAAAAGTTTTAAATAATTGAAAAACAAAAAGGAAACATATGTTAAGATAGCAAAGTTGTTTGTCGTTGGTTTCCAAATGATTCACAAAGATCTGTACATACGTGGAAGAATTTGCAAGATTTTGTCAAACAGTATGCAGTAAGAGTGAATTTCGTTATTCATTGGAAACATTATGAAATTAATTTGTGCTTGAGCACAAACATAGAATTTGAAGATTCTATACAGATGACATCATCATCATATGCGCAACGCACTGCATTTTGAGTTCCAGTTTATGAGTCAGGGGTCAGGATTCACGATGAAACGTTAGACGTACGTGCGTGTCTGTAAGCCCCTGAGGGCATTTTTTCTTCACCTTCTAGTTAACAATCTTGACGTCTTCCGGTCTATCTGCGTCGTTTTCTCCTTATCTTACATACACATACTTCGTCTTCGTCCGGCTTAAACCGGAATTCACGTAGCCGGTGTGGCTTGTATATAAAGCTGGAACAAACGGAAGACGGCAGCTCCACAGCATCATCCGACAACATGTTCCGTCATCTCATTCTTTGCTCACTCGTAGCGACTGTAAGGTTTTTTCATTATTGTTTAATACTTTCCTGAAAACTAAAGCTGTAGACAACATCAATTAGTTTATGAATTTCAATTACTAATGTTTTGTTTTCAGGCATTATGCGGACCAATCGGTGAACGTGAAAAACGACAGGCTTGCGGAGTAGCATGCCAACAAGGTATTTAACTCAGTTATGATATACCTCACTTCTATCATTCAGCTCCACTCTACACAGTTGAAATTCAACAGTTCAACGCCCCTCAGCAATCTCCTTGTCTCTGTGCACCAGCTCAAGTAATTTTTGTGTGAAGAAATTAATCACGCTACATTTATCTCTACAGCCTGCTTGTGATTGTGTACCAGCTCAGCAGCAGCCTCTCTGTGATTGCCAAGCAACTCCATCTTGTTGTGTCCAAGTAGATATCATCCAACAAGATCCATGCGCTGCTTGCCCCCCACAACATAACCCATGCCCTGCCTGCCCACAGCCAGTACAGCAAAACCCTTGCTGCCAGCAAGCTCAAGTATTTTATATCTTCATTAATGTTGAACTGATTGAATTTTAGCCTGCTTGCGATCCTTGTCCACAGCCCGTTCAACAAGCACCATGTTGCCCACAGCCCGTTCAACAAGCCCCATGTTGCCCACAAGGTTTGAAATGAATAAAACTCAGTTCCAATCATAATAATATCAGCTGCCCCACAAGTCGGATGTACTGTATGTGTCGAAATTGTTCAACAAGAGCCATGTCAGCCTTGCCAACAAGCTCAAGTAATTATCAAACATGTACTTTTTCTTTTAACTGTTCACCTATAGCCAGCCTGTGATTGTGCCCCAGTTCAACAAAATCCTTGCCCAACCTGCCAACCAGTAGTTCAGCAAGATCCATGCGCTTGCCAGCCAGCTCAGGTACTTTTAGGAACTCAAGTCTTTCTTTAACAGAAAAGAACATTTGCAGGCTCCTTGCCCAGCTTGTCAACCAGTTGTCCAACAGGATCCCTGCCCACCATGCCAGCCCATTCAGCAAAACCCCTGCCCAACCTGTCAGCCTGTAATTCAACAAGATCCCTGCCCAAGCTGCCAGCCTGTTATTCAACAAGACCCCTGCTGTCAAGTAAGTCATAAAACCATTCATGTAATCCCATTTTTCGAACGTGCATATTTACTAACGTTCACATTCTATGCTATTTTCAAACAAACTATGTATTTGCAGCAAGCCGAACCAGCCTGTAATCCATGTGGAGCCGCAGTTCCTGTTCAGCAAACTCAAGCACTGATCCAGATTCAACAGACTCAGGTACGTGACCTCATCAACTAGATATTCAACTGACTGCGACGCATTTCAAGACTCTCCAATGCGCTCCAGCGTGTCAACCATCCTGCCAATCAAGCTGTACTGCTTACTACGACAACCAGATGACTCAATATAGGTTTTCCAAGCGCTCAAAGAGCTAATATGAATTGATTAATTTTTAGCACTGCTACTACTTCATGCGATGCTCAGAACTGTGTCTGCCAAAGAGGATACGTTAAGTGTGCTGAACAGACTTGTTGTCTTCGTTATCGTTATACCCAGAAAAAGAGCAAAAGATCCGTAGCATAAATAGAAAACATGCTTTGCGATACGGATAATGATCGACTTCGCAATATTTGTAGATAATTGCCTTGAAAATTCGCCATATAAAACGCAATGATATTATGTGACCATTTCTTATACTATATCTATACATATGTATATGTAAGTATTAATAAACATATCGAAACTTCAAAGCTTCTAAAACAAACTTGGAAAAACATGAAAAAGAAATTGAAAAGATAGAACCGTTCACTAGCTCTGCAAAAACACTAATGAGTAGTTCCGATACTCTGTTTTCCACGTACGACACGTGAGATCATTGATTATGCTAATGTACCAACGTAATCCGAAAATCAACATTTGAATGTTCTGATTTAAGGATGCTTTAACATTTTTTGTTGTTACATTTCTTAGTTTTTTCTGAAACTAAAAAATTGTTTAAAAATAGGTTTGAATAAGGAAAACTCAAAGTGCAGCTTCATGAGCAACTCGAAACAAACAAGTTTCGCATAACTTTTCTCATCTTACTCCTATTGTTTCGTCAAGCAATTCCAATCACTTCATCGATTTTCAGCTTATTTTGACTTTTTTTTTTACTAAATAAAGAAATTGTGATTGGACAATAAGAAACCCTCAGGGCATCAGAGACTAAGAAACTGAAAGAGAAAACGAGATGTCGAACTCGCTTTCCGTATTGTTCAGAGGACTCATTTCATTATCGCACACGAAGCCGCGAGCTTCTCCTCTTCTTCGTCTTTTCAGTCATCCTCTTTTTTTTTCTCTCTCTTAACCATCCCTCTTTACATCTCTATTTCTCTCTGAAGATCTTTTTCACTCTCTCTTTCTTTTACTTCTCTTTCTCTACTCTCTCTCTATTCCTCTCTACAACCATGCTCATTGAGCCAGTCGATATTTCAACTTCCTGCAGCTTTTTGTGAAACTTATACATCCATTGGTCATTTGAAATCCTTTCAAGTTTTTTCTCTCGTTCATTTCTGCAATAATTACTCCACTATCGCTTTTCCTTCATCAAACATCCTTCTTCCATTATTTCCTCTCGTTTTTCCGCGCTCTTCTTCCTATTTCCCATTTTTTTATGTCTTATCCATCAATATTCCTATTTCTTGATTTCAATCATTTGCATCTACATGCTTGCTCGCAAAGTAAAACTAATACATGTCTCCGTTTTTTTGATTGATTTTTGACACTTTCGTGCGAGTGACGATTTGAAGAAGCATGCTGTCTAGAATTGTTATGAATGAAAATTTCCAACTTTCCGAATTTCGCTTATAATAAAGCAAAAGGTTCACGTTTCGCTTGAGTTCAACAGTATTGGCGAACAAGCTTCATGTAGAGTATTGTGGTAGTAAGTAAATGTGTAGGAGAAGTTGGCTAAATAGATCATCATAGGGTTCCGAGGAAGCTAGAGGCTCTATACAATCTCGCGATTATTCTGACGATATTCCCGAGAGAGAAAGAGAGAGATAGAGAGAAAGGGATACAGAGAAGAAAGTGTAGTTTACTATTTAATATACACACCATTTATAGAAGTTTAGTAGTAAGTTTCTCCTGTTCTGCTCACCAGACTCTTTGCTTCTTCACTATGTTTTTCATAATATAGCATTTTATCTATTCTATCTGCTAAACAAAGTAGAGAATATGAAGAGAGAATCATTTTTTGTAAGTTCAAATCAGAGTTTGCGAAACCATAATAAGCGATTTTCCTGAAAAGAAAATTACTTTGTTCTAGGACGATTAGAAAAAAAAACAAAGCTCGGAACTTTTACGTCGAGGCTCGATGTCAACCAGATTTCTTCTAAAAGCTTTTCTTTCTATTCTCTCTCTTTCTCTCTCTCTCTCTCTCTCTATCTCTCTCTCTCTAAACTTTTCATTCATCAGAATTTTGAAAACGGCTATGTAGCTTAAGGAAAATATTTGCATCATCGTGTATACATGCTTGATTTCTAAAAGCTATATACTCAGCTGTAGCAACTTTTTGCAATTTGTCCTGGAAATTCAATATTCTCGAACACTGATCACAACAAAACTGTTTTTTTATTCTTTTTCTCATTTTAATTCGAATTTGAGCCTTTTTTGCTCATAAATATTCGTTCATTCGTTGCAAATTAAGCGTACAATGATAAAAAAAATTGTGTGCTTCTCGTAAAGGAAAAAGCTATCTCTGCTCTCACTTTTATCTCTGTTCCTCTTTCTCATTCTGTTTCTTCCATTCTCTCACTCTCTCACCCCCTCTCTCTCTTCACAATCTATTTTGAGCTTTTTTCTATTGTCTTCTTTTTCCGTAAAAGCTCTTTCGACCTCTTGTGTTTATAATTTTTCTCATTTTTCTCTTCTAATGTTCTTCAATTTCTTCTTCAACTAATTTTCTTCGAACATTACATTTAATTTTTATAAATCTTCCGATATGCGGATTTCAATAGCTCTACGAAGCAGACATTTTTTGTTCCTCTCCTATACCTTCTTTTCAACCATTTTCTTTGAAATGTAACTTGATATCCTGAAAACCATACCAACTTTCTTTTTGTTCCCCATCCTCCTGCTTTTTATCTCCTTCACTTTACTTCTTCATGATGTTGCTTGCCAATACTGGCTGGGAGCTTTCGTGACTTCCGAATAAACCAACTCTCAGTTGATTGACTATCCACGACAGAGAAATAACTCAAACGATAAGCTTTTCCGTTTTTACCTTCCCAAGATATTCTTTTGACCTTTGACCAGTCGTTTAACAACACCATAAGCAAGTTATTGGTTTTCAATAGACGAAGCCTTTTTTTGAATTTTCACTATTTTTTACTCATTCATTCCCTATTCTTCTCTTTCTCTTTTTTTCAAGAATGAGACATCTTTTTTCGGAAATGTTGCTTTATTGGACTAAATAGGCAAGGTCGGCTGTCACAGAGTCACATTTATTGTTAAAAACTTGCAAGTAGATAATCGTGTAAGAAAAGTAGGCTTTGAGGTCACTTTGTGCACAACCACTGAGCCGCTAGCGGCTATTGAGTTACAAGTTGAATAAATGGTAGAATATTGTTATTTTCTAAACAAAGTGAAATGGATAGAACGATACCTAAAAAGGAAAAGGTAGAAAGCACGTGAAAGAGTCCACTAGAGATATTGAGAGAGAGAGAGAGAGAGAGAGAGAGAGAGAGAGAGAGAGAGAGAGAGAGAGAGAGAGAAAAGGAAACAGGAAGAA